TAACTTCAGCTACTTCAGTATTATTTACAACATTTGCTTTATTTCTTTTCAACATCATAACTGCTCCTGCTGTAGCTAGCAAACCTAGTGGGAGACCATATTTTATATAAGGACTTGACCAAATGCTATTTTTGACAGGAGCTGGTGGAACACCTAACCTTGGTGAGACTGCTCTTTGCCATTGTGCAGCTCGTAAGAAATATTCAATAGGTGCTCCATAATCGTTTGGTAAAGTTTGTTTCATAGATGGTGAAGGTTCACGAGAGCTTGATGAAGAACTCATTTATAAGCTTTAAAAATAAACGTTCATCCTTTATTCCTCACTGTCGTCCGTAGCTAAGTTATAGTCATCTAATCTTATTATTGGGATTCCATTAGCACGCACCTGAATGGCAAAGCAACAATCCCTCATAAATCCAATAAGTGGCTTTGGTACATTTTCAGTTGCTAGTTCAATAGGTCCTTTAACAGACAATTTGTATGTTATTGGAGCAGTAGATGTTTGACCTTGCTGGAAGCAAAAGTCCACTTCTGTTGGAAAACCACATAAGAAATGTGTGTTGTCATAGCTATCCCATTTATGTTCCACACTACCATCATCCACCAATGACCTCATAACATCTTCATTAAATCCTATCATATCATTGTTTGTATTGCAGGCGTTCGCAACCATTTCATAAAATACAGGTCCATATGATTTTTCAGGTTCTGCAGGCATATTTCCATAAGCTCCCATGGAAAGCTGAAGATATTTAAACTTAGGGTTCTCAAAATTAACATAATAGTTGTCTTTCTTTCTAAATAGTGCCCAAATACTTTTAACATTAATAGGCGTATAAGCTGCTGTAAATGTTGCACTTGAACTATCTGTATTCTTTGAGAATGAACCGTCCATAGGAATCCAATCCATAACTTTAACAGGAAAACATAAAGCCTCGTTTGTATAATGTTCTACAAGTTCTGTATAAATGTTAGGGTCTAAAGAGAATGACTTTGGATGAATGAAACATTCATTAAAATCCATCTTTGTTCGAAATAGTTGCTGGGTTACAGTTGTAATAGTAACTGTTCCACTAGCTTCTACTGCCTTCGTTATCATAGTGAATGGTTCATTCCATGGAACAAATTTATTTGTCGGTGGATTTGAATCTGAAGCAAATGCAACTTTAAGAGTTGGATTGAAAGCAATGATATCATTTACAGATATAGATGTGCATTGTAAGGCGTCGCTACTGAACTTTACTTTAAGCTGAATGTTTCCTGCAAAAGCTGGAATAAATCGAATAGCTTCTAATGGAAGGAATCTTCTAACAGGAATTCTTAAACGAAGCTTAAAATCAAATGATTTTCCTGCTGTAATTGGACCACTAACAATTTGTCCTGTTCTGCATGTTCCCGAATGACTCCATACATCTTCATGTCGAGTCTTTGAGAAAACATCTACTTTCTTTATTTGTTCGGTAGTTTGTGAGTTTGAAGTTATATATGCTTCTTCTCTTGCGTTGTCTTGAGAATATACGATACGACCATTTGCAAGGATTTGATATCCAGCAACTGCATAGAAAGCGTCATCGAAACCAATCCAAAATCCTGGTGGGTTTGTTTTATTGGAACCTGAACCAATTTCTTTATCTACAATAAATTGACCTTCCATTTTATACGTAATGAATGTATTGTAAAGGTCCAACATATTTTCACCAGGAGGTGAGAGATTGAATGTTACCCATGTGTTATCTTTAGCAGTTCCAGGTTGTGATGGAATCTTTGCGTCAGAATATTTTCTATTAGTGTCACCAATTTGAACTGCATTGTCTATGATATCGAAATATGAGCGAATCTGATGAATATGCTCTGCTGGAGTAAATTCGTTTAACTGTTCGTTCTGCATGTATTTACTTCGGATAAAAATATCTATTTACTTCATTATTCTCACTCTTCTTCTTGGCATTCGTGGTGGAAGTTGTTTCTTGACATTTTCAATGAACTGTACATTCTCTTTTGTCTCAACTTCTTTCACTGGTGGGTCAGGGTTCTTTGACTCGGTTTGTTTTTCAATGAAATTCACGAACTTTGCAATAAGCTCTTGGTTCGTTATTGAAAGTACATCTGGCTTCTTTTCTTCTGTTCTTTTCTCAGTTTGAACAGAAGGTTTTATATGGGCTTCGTGGACTTCACCCTTGCCATACACCTTAATGTTGTCGCTTTCTGCATTCGCTAATGGAACCTTTCTTTTTCTTACGTATATTTTACCATCTTTACTCTGACTTACGTAATAGAAAGGATGTTGTATTCCTCTTGCGTCATTTAATATAATAGACTCTCGCTCTGATTTTGACAAGCTCATTTTACATCGGTTAAAGTTTTAATTTTGTTTTTTATCTGCAGTCAAATGACTCAGACAAGCCCTACGGACAAGACCCAAGGGGTCATAGATGTTGAAGCATTGAAGAAAGAAATTCGTGAGCAAATTTTATCCGAACTGAAGGAACAAAAACAAGAACAAAAGCCAGAGAGACCAAAGAGAAAACTTAGTGAAAAACAACTTGCTGCATTAGCTGCTGGAAGACAAAAGAACCCACGTTTGCTGGCGAAGAAAGCTAGAGAAGAAGCTGAAGCAAAAGCTAAAGAAGCTGAAGCAAAGAAAGAGTAAATGGTTTATTTTTATCCGAATTAAATGTATAGACAAATACCTTTATCTGTTGCGTTCAGTAGTGAAAACCCTGACGTCAAAATAAAGGGGAACAGAGTAACGTTTAAGTTTCCAACAGACTGGATTGTGAACATAAATGAAGAGAAGTACATTGGCATAACATCTATGTATATAACACGTGCTTTCAGAAAGGTTGACTTTATACTTCAAGTCGAGATAGAAAATGACGAACAGTCTTTAAGCGCCCAAAACATTCACATATACAAATACTTTAAAGACGATACAACATTGTTGCAATGTATGATTTCATTTAATGAATGTTCGAGAAAAAGTTCAACATTGAAGTACAAACTTTACAGCCTTTACGTGAGTTTCTTGCACAACTGAAAGAAGAAGGTAGTCAGCCACAACTTATAGACTTTCATTATGAATTTAATGAAAATGAAGATGGAACTCATGACTGTCAGTTTTGTATTCTCACCATTCAATGAAGTAGCTAAAAGAAAAAAATCCATTACGTATAAGATTTCAAATCTCTGAACCAATGATGATTTCAAGAATGTTTTCAATTATGATGCAATGCTTCCGAGGAAAAATGAATTTTCAAAGATTGTAACACCTGGCATTTGGGATAGAAAGCAAGCTATATTATATTCAAACTTAAGTAAGGGAGTTGAAAATGAGTTCATTGGTCATACAAGAACTTCACCACTTCCTAACCCTAAATACTATAAATTAACTGGCTTCAATCGTGAGTTTTGGATAGACATGTTCTCCACTCATGACCATAACTGCCCAGTGTTCTTACCTCCAGACCATAAGGACTGTCTCTACATTGAAGCACAACTCTTAAACTCTACCATCGCAGTATTGTAAAATCTACGCTAGTTTTATTTTTTTCTGAAAATTTTATTTGAGTGAAAGGCATGGAAGGTGAAGGACATTGGCAAACACTCGAACATGACAATGACTATGAAATCTTTTCAGAGTACCCTTATCCAATTAGACGTATAAGCAATAAAAGAGTTGTTAGTGAGTTTGACCAAGGAGATGGTTATATTTGTGTAAATTTAAACAAACACAAGCTGATGAAACATAGAATAGTTGCAGAAACTTTCATTCCGAACCCTGAAGGACTTCGTGAAGTAGACCATATAAACAGAGACAGAGGAGACTTTCATATCTCGAACTTAAGATGGACGACAAGAAGAGAAAACATGAGAAATATTTCTGGTTCAAATGGCTATTGGTTTGACATTGTTGACTCTCTTCCTGAAGACGCTGTTGAAATTATACAATACTCATATCACACGTTAGAGAACTACTACTATGTCCCAAGTGAAGATGCCTTTTACTATTTCATGGGAACTCAATACAGACGAATGAATGTCTTAAGACAGTATAACAAAGATTATATAAACATTACAGATGTAGAAGGAAGAAGAACAAAGCTGTCTATTGCAAAGTTTAAGAGAGACAATGGTTATACATAAATGACAAAAATATATGACCTCATTATTTTTATCACGAATGACCTCATTGCTGACAAAAATAAATGACCTCAGAACTTCAACTTACGAATAAAGCTTGTTTTAGTCGTTATTGAGAAGTTAAACTTTTCAGCAAAGCAAGGACTAGAAGACTTACATAAGTCAAATCCAATCTCTTGACCGTCATAAGTGCTTTGTAAAGTTTCATTAAACTGAACTCAGAGTCTTTGTCATATGTTCCAACAGGTATGTGAATGTTCTTATCTTCATTGTAATAGCATTGTATAGCTTCAGGAAACATTTCATTTGCTGTTAAAGCAAGGACGTCTTGTTTGACACCTTTGCAACGTGCATGGAATGCAACTTCATTTAAATCGTTAGTGAGTAAGTCTATGTAAGTCTTCTTTCCACAAAATATTGACTTGTATGCTAAACTTTGTTTTCCAGGTGTTATTTCTGCGAAGTCAGAATGAAATTGACCAAGGTTCTTTCCTATAAGTTTGCGACCGTATCTCTTCTTAAACTCTGCTGCAAGCTTTGGTATGTCTTCATTGAAAATATGCATGCTATCACAGTCCTGGTAAAATATTTGAAGTCCCATATCTTCAGCAGTACAGAATACTTCACACATTATTCTCTTCGACATAGATAGAATATTAACACCAAGTGGACAGAAGTTAAAGTGTCTGCAAATGCTTTTCGTTAGCTTGAAAATAGTTTTATCTGAACCATCCAAACCTTCGAACTTCACTATATGGTTGTAGTTTCTGATGGCATATCTTATAGCATCTTTGTCATTTACTATGGTTATTTTTGACTCAATAGGAGATAGAATAGTTTTGCCATAAATACTGTTCAGAATGAGCTTTATATTTTCTTGCAAAGGATTTCCTTCTTTCTTATACTTTAACCTTAACTCAAAAACTTCTTTAACTTCATCTCTTATTCTAATATCTCTGTTTCCATCGTAATAGTATCCTTGCAACACTTCACATTTGACACCTTGATATTTTATGAGGTCTTGTAATGTTATATGGTCAACATACATTAAACAGCAAGTGTTTGAACTTCTGGGAACGTTAAGTTCTGGATTTAGTTCAGGGTCACAAACTATTAAAGGAAAGTGTCTATGTATTCCAATCTCTGTTATCTTAATGAGAACAAAGAAGCCAGACATAAACTTTTCACCAATGGGTTCCTTTTGGTCGTCATCGAATAAATGTCTCATGAGATACTCTGTGCTTAACATCTCATCCTTCAATACTTTTGGAATTCCTTCTAAAGTATACAATCTTGCAATTGCTGATGGATATAATGAAACAGCGTCGAAGTCAGCAATGAGTTTCTTTTCGCTCTTTTGTTTCATGTTATCTGACAACATACATCTTCCACCTTGAATGCATCTCGAAATAAATTCTCTTGGTTTATTTGAGAGGTCATATAAATTTCCATTCGGGAAGTACACTCTGTTCTCAAATAATTTGTTAGCAATTGAACAAATACTAACGTAGTCATAAACGTTTAAATCAAATTCTTTCAATATGTCATTGCGGAACTTTACAAAACCTTCTCTTAAAATTCTTACATCTTGTTTGCAGTAAAACGTGCTATATTTTTCTAAGTCGAAGTGGTTCTCATCTATTCTGCAACCTTTGATGGAATCTATGTTTTTCATGAACGTTTCATATCTTACAAACTTACATGCTTCAGAAATGACACCAGTTCTGTTGTCATTTGCTAACAAAACACTGCTGTAGTAGTTGTATGGAAATACTTCTTTCGGTCCTGTTTGTAAGTTAAACATAGCAGGAAATAGTTTAAGCTTCTTATTTATAACACTGTAAGAGTCTTTTATAATAATTGCCCTTCCTTTATATAAGCCAGTTATTTGCATTGTTCGTGAACCTTTAATGATGGGAGTTCCTTTCACTTCTGTCATGTGTCTTAAGATGAAGTTTATATCATAGCTGAGGTTATGGAAATATATTAAACTCTTGTCAGGAAGTCGTTCCAAAAATTCTGTTGCACAGTTCTGACCCCAAATGCTTTCACTCACTGAACCATCTTCACTGTCGTAACAGATGTTAAAAGCTTTATGAAAGCCATCGGTACTGCACTCAAAGTCAGCAAAGAAAACGTGCTCAGGAATGAACTTGCACTTATTTTTATTTACTTCTTTTGACTCGGCTTTCTTCTTCAGTTGTACACAATACTTTGGAGCATATGTCAAATCTTTAAATGGTGCAAGGTTCTGTTTATATAAGTCAGTCGTATATGTGAAAAGTTCTCCATAAGAAATAGGTTCGAAATATTTGCACTCCCACAATGTTTTCATAACATCCCATAACGGTGTTGTTCTATCATAACGAACTACATATTTATCTCTCTCTTTGTATAAATCTTCATTTGTTTCTCAATGTTCATTCCACCACAAGCTTTGAGAATTTCTATATAGTTGCGAATGAAATATGTTGTCATTGGTAATCTTTCGTTTAGCATGTAGTGGTCTTCAACAAGAAGTAAGTCAATAGTTCTAACAGTTTCACATTCTTTTGGTATGTATCTCTTTATTTCATTATGTCTTGAGTCATTGAAATAACCAATGGTAACATTAAATGCTATACCTGTTGCGTCAGAAATTTCTTGTACTTTACTTTGAGGAAAGTCTCTAACACGAATGACTTCTCTCATGTGGTCAATAGTTTCTTCATCTACTCCAGCCTGAATGCAAGCATAAACGAAACAATTGTCTTCTGTCATAAGTGCTGCAGTTCTTTTGTTCAATTCATTGAAAATTTGGTAGCGTTCAAGATTTATAGGTAATGTGCAAAGATACTTCCAGAACTGACCGCTTCTCTTCTTATAAAACTTCTTTTCACCAATTTCATTCCAAAGCTCTATATGCTGTTTATCTCCTGTTTGTTAAGAGCTTTCAATAATCTTTTCTGGTCTTTCTGTCAGTGTGCTTTCATCTCTATATGGTCGCTTCTGTGGCTTTCCTTTCTTAACATCTGACATCGTTAAGCCTTCATATTCTGTTAAATCATACATCTTTATTTCAGTAAGATTCTTTATGTTTGTCAAGAAGAAGTCATAGTGCATTTCAACAATACCTGCAGCATTTGCTTCTATCTCTGATATAAAGTTCTCCTTCAAGAGCTGATGTAGTAATGTTCCAATATTATTGAGGTTTAACGTAGAACATTCATACTTTCCACCAAGTTTATAACATACCATCCATCTCTGTTGTGAGTTTATTTTAATCTTCTCTAAGAGTCTCATGAAAACCTTACCGAAATGTTTGTGTAAGTAGTCTCTGTTTGGTTCATCTAAAGCTTCGATGTTAAAGTCAATGAGTCTATTGCCTGACTTCACATTTCTCTTCCTATTCTCTTCATCTTTCTTTAACCATCTCTCACCTTCTTTTGGTTTGTCGTCAATGGAACGAATGACATCGTTAGCTTTGCGAACTTGTTCTATAGCACTTTTAAACATCTCTCTTCTCTGTTGTTTCAGTGTGTCGTCTCTTCTTCTTGTTTCACCAACGTTTGCATTTGTTATGTCAAACATTTCTCTTCTTACTTCATGAGGTACTGAACGTCTATGATATAAGTCAATAGCAACGTCATTTAAAGGAAATGCTCTTGCATTTATGAACTCATGAATTCTATCATAACTTATTGCACCATTATAGTCATTGAGGATGTCAGCGAGTGCCTTTTTGTTTGTTGCGTAATGCTTTGCAACATCTATATTAGCTTCTGTAAGAAGTTGTTTTATTTCCGAGTGTTCTAACTTAGACAACTTCCGATACATCTTTAGTAGGAAATAAAAAATAATTTTTTTGAAAAAATTAGATTAGATTTTTTTAAGTTATTTTTCAAAATAATTTAATATTTTTATTTTAATGAAACACATGCAAGATTGCAAGTTCTTTTCATACAATGCTCTCGCTACTGCCATCAAGAATGAGTTCAATGGTGCTTCAAACGTTAATGTTATCTTTAACAAGAAGTTTGTGAAAGAATCTAAGTTTGGTCAGTATGTCAGACCATTAGCTATCGTCATTGACCGCAAACGTTATACTTCACAAGAGTTAGCAGTAGTTTTGAAACAAAAGAGTTTCTTCGTGAATGTCAAAGATACTCATTATACTGTCATAAAGAACTCTAACATTGACTTCTTCAGTATTGCTTTAAATCTTTCCGAACAGAAAGAATATAAGAAGGGTGAAACAAATGTGAAATATTATCCTTCATCTCTGAAGACAATAACGAACAAAGATGTTATACAGAAATTCTTACCAAAGGTTGAAGAAGCTTCTATTGACATTGACGAAGGAAGTGAAATGGTTGAAGAAATAGACCCTGAAGCTATTTAAGCAAAAATATATTTTTGGTTAGTCTTCATATCGATATTTTACAACAATTCCCCAATGTATAAACTTTTCATACGCTTTTTCATAAGCTTTATATACCTTCAGAAATTTTGCATAATCTTTAGAAGCATTTAGATATTGTTTAAATGCTTTGTATGTCTTCAGAAATTTTGCATAATCTTTTACATGTTGTTCGTTCTCTTCTTCTGTCATGAGTTCCGAATATTCTAAATTCATGTTCTTTCATATGAGATAAAATTTTATAAAAAAATAAAATTAGCTTAGATTTTTTTATTCTTCCTCTTTGAAGTTGTCGAAATATTCTGTTATCTTTTCCTTCAGTAGCGGTAAGTCTTCTTTGAAGGTAAGTATTGTACAACCTTTCATATCATAGTGTGTTTGAGGAAGAGTATTTTTGACAATTTCCTTTATTTGCTCATTCGGTGTCATTGAAATCGGTAAGTTTTCACGATAGAACCAGTTTCTGTCAGATTTGTAAATCTTAGCAAGGTCGTAAAAGCTTTTGTTGTTTCTTCTGACTAAATGCAACATAACCATATCTCTATCTTCTTCTTTCTCCAACTCTTCAGCGTAAATCATATACTTATAACTCTTTTCCTTTCCTTTTGGTACTGAACGTGGTATTCTTTTCTGTATGCTTTTGTCTTTGGATTCAATGACTTCATCTTTTGCTTGAAGTTTCTTTTCCATCTCTCCACGTTCTGCTTTATATAGTTCATCTAACATCATGAAAATATAACAAGCATAACGAGGTGAAGCCCACATTGCTACAGCATTTACTAAAAGTCTATGAACATAATAACCTTTCAAACCAGGAGCCAAATTCTTGCGATTTTCGAATGGAATCTCTTCCCTCGGTTTTCCGAGGGAAGCAATCATATGAGGAAATTCTTCTAAAAGTTCTTTTGCCTGTTGGTTTTCAAACCAATGATATGCTTGCTTTGTAGAACTAAGAGCATTCATTATACTTTGCATTTGGTACATGTCATCTTTGACTGAACGAATGAGTCTCAATTGTTTGTTATACTGTATGTATTCGTATTCTTCATTTATGGCTTCATGAACGATAGCAGTTGTTGTGTTCTCTGATGTTGACATTACTGTCTTTACATACAAAATAAAAAAATAAATAAAAATAAAATTAGCCTTTTTTTACATTATGACACGAAGTGAAGATTTGCACTTCGTCAAATTTTATTAAAAATTAGCCTTTTTTTACATTATGACACGAAGTGAAGATTTGCACTTCGTCAAATTTTATTAAAAATTAGCCTTTTTTTACATGTATTTTTCAGCAACTTCGTCAAATTTTATTAAAAATTAGCCTTTTTTTTACATGTATTTTTCAGCAACTTCGTCAAATTTTATTAAAAATTAGCCTTTTTTTTACATTATGACACGAAGTGAAGATTTGCACTTCGTCAAATTTTATTAAAAATTAGCCTTTTTTTACATGTATTTTTCAGCAACTTCGTCAAATAATTTTATAGCTTTATCTATCTCATCTACTTCAAACGTTTCTTTACCTTTTATGGGAGCACCATACATTTTCTCAAACTTTTCGAGTAGTTCTGTTTCTGCGGCTCTCATATCATTAACGAACACAACCTTGACTCTATTGACTGTAGAGTCATATCTTTGAGTTATATTATATGTCCTTCCTATCTTATATCTTTTTGTGTTGAAGTCCTTCGGTTTCTGAACGATGTAAAGTAAGCCTTCACTGCAACGTTCCGTATCGAATGAACCATAAGTTATGAAGTTATATCCAACAACTGGGTCAATCCATAACAAAACTATTGGTATAAGACTTTTGTCGATGAGATATGCTGTAGTTCCATAGAATCTTACTGATATCATAAGCTCAGGATTTCTTGTCAAAATTTTCTGAGTTGAAGCATTTCTAACCCAGTGGTTTGTTTTCTTTTCAGATGGTGTCAGAATGTCTGACAAAGAATATTTGTTGTATTTCTTTGAGTATCTTACGTTTAAATCACCGATTCTAACCACTTTGGTGTCATTGTCAATCTTTCTAACTGTTTCAAACTCAATGTTTGACATTACTGTCTTTACATACAAAATAAAAAAATAAATAAAAATAAAATTAGCGTTATTTTCTAACTAATGAAATTCATGAAATTTGGTCATTTTTCAGTAAAAATATATTTTAGGTGAAGTGGTGAGATCTCACCTCTTTTTTCACCTCTTTTCTCACCTCTTTTTTCACAAGCGTTTTACATGAATTGTACGATGTATATTTGAAATCCTAAACAGTTTTGTAGCTTCTATTTCTTCTTTTAGTACATCGAATGTTTTAACAATGCCGAAAGTCTCTTTATATTTCTTCTTGACGTCAGACAGAAGGAAATCTTCTGCTGTTGGATAATTTTTATTAAGAAATGTCAACATGTCCATTTTATCTTCTGCTGGCTTTTCTGCTTCTTTCTTTAAGTCTGCATAGTCGTTTCTCATTCTTTCTATCTCTTTGACTGAGTAGTTATATTTTCTTATTGCTGCTTTACATTTAGAACATTGCGGGTTCATTTTTGCGTTATACATTGAAATTTGACCTGCTAGAACAACTAAGGCGTCAATTGCTCTCTTCATCTCAAACATAGCGGGTCTTAGTTGTTCGTTCCATACTTTGCCTCTTCTATCTTTATCTCTTATTTCCCAAACACATTCAGCAACTAATGAAACAAAGTTATCGTAGGTCTTAAATTCTTCGGATTTGTAAAGGTCAGAAATATTTTTATAAACCATGTCGCAATCTTTGTCCATAACTTTATGGTTGCAATGAAAACCAAGGAATTCATAATTTACCTTTCGTATGAACTTCTTTATTTCTACTGAGTCAGTTGCTTTGACTTCAATTTCGTCGAATTCAGGAATAGTTAGTTTTTGATGCTGAATTTCAGGTAGTTTAGGTAAATGGTCGATGAGGTCCTCCATTTCATAAAGATACTGTTCATTTGTTTCATCTTTCGCACTACAGTCTAAATTACTTGTTAAAAGTTCTTGCTTTATCTTCTGGATTTCTGTTTCAAAAGTATATGAAGGAGGAATAAAGCTTTTCATCTCTACCAACATTGACGTAGGATTCATGACTAGCGAGTTTGGTGCTGTAGTTGTTTGAATTGTTGTTGTGCCGATTGTTGAAATCATATCTTTTATACAAAATAAAAAAAAATAAATAAAAATAAAACTAACTTTATTTTTTCTATCTTAAGGAAATTCATGAAAATTCACGAGGGTGAAAAAACAGGTGAGATCTCACCTCTTCACCTAAATTATATTTTTTGGTGAATTCAATAAAAATAAATGGTTCATTTACTCACAATATTTTTTTACAAAACGACCCCAAACTTTTAACTTCTTTTCTGCAGCTTCAAATGCTATCTTAGCGAGTTCATATTCTCTAAATTCTCTCTTTAAATCTTCTTGTTCCCATTGGTCTAGTTCGTATGGAGAATCTCTATAACCATAATATATCTCACGTTCATGTTCTAATTGTTTTTCACACATTTTTCCAACTTCTTCTTCGAACAAAGGTTTAGCATTCTCCACTGTATCTTCGAGTTCTTCTTCATCTAATTTCTCATGAACTTTCTTGTCTATGGAGTCCATAATATCTTTGACATAAAATGCATACTTTACAGAGCACCATTCAGCAACAAAATGAACGAGGTCAGGATGTATGTAAATACCTTTGAATTCATTTATAACACCCTTAGTAAGCTCATAAAATGCTTGTTTTGAGGTCGAGCCACTTTTGGCTCCACCGTATTCGTTCATCCAAAACTCAAGAATTTCCTGCATTTTAGCACTATTGAGAAATCTGTTTAAATGGTTTAACCTTCCCGCTTCTCTTGCCATCTTTGTTGCATTAATGTAACCATCCTTGTCTCTACGTAAGACTTCAATACCATTATAAGTGCCTTTTGTGAATGTTTCGCCATTTGATTTGTTCGTGAATGTTTTTGCTTCGACTGACATTATTGTCTTTACATACAAAATAAAAAAATAAATAAAAATAATTTTAAAACTAACTTTATTTTTTCTATCTTAAGGAAATTCATGAAAATTCACGAGGGTGAGAAAACAGGTGAAAAAACAGGTGAGATCTCACCTCTTCACCTAAATTATATTTTTGGTGTAAATTTATGACAAAAATAAATGGTACCATTAATGATATCATGACTGTTCTCATTCATGTCTGATTTACATCTAATGAAAAAGTTTAGAAGAATTTTCTTATTCTTTCTGGCATGTTTTTGTCTTTCCAATACTCCCGCTCTAATGGTCCCAGATGTGTTGGCTTTGACTCTCTCAAGTTCTTAGATGGTATAACATCTTCAACGCCTCCTTCATATCTTACTTTATAAGTGTCATCGTTTATGTTGTAGCCAAGTATTTCAATAACCACTCCTCGCTTTGCTTCGTCAATGGTTTCAGCAAGTTTGCCATTACTACTTTCGACTAATTTATGACGAGGATAAAATGCTATGGAGTCGTCAGCAGCTTTTATAAGATATCCATTACCTTGCGTAGAGTCTACGATATAATAGTTTCTACTTAACCTTAAACGTTTCTTTGTCAACGGTTTGTCGTCAAGAACTACACGAACTTTTGTACCAGGAATGAGGGTAAATTGTGTTGAATTTCTGATATTTTGTGTTTGACTTCGTTTCTTTTGTATATACTTTTCTTCTTGTTGTTGTGTCATTGAATTTGGTGTATGTCCTGTTGTAGAATGTGTTGAGGAATTATATACTTCGAGAAAATGTTTCATTGTTTCTTCGGTAAAGTCTCGCTCTTGGTTTAAATCTCTGAGCGTTCTTATGAAGCGGTTTATGATGCCGAGTATGTTATGGTTATGGTCTTCAGTAGTGTAGTGAGTTATGTTATGCTTAATGAGAAAATCTGTGATTTCATTGCTGAGGTATGCACTGTCTTGGTCTGATGTTAAAGTACTTGGGCTATGTTCTGCTACAAACTTTTGTAAAACTCTTAACACTTCACGAGTTCCTTTATTTTTCATTGGATACGCATATGCTTTACGAGTGTTAACATTAATGAAGATGAGGAATGGTTTATGTCCTCCTTTTCTGCTTTGAATGAGAGTGTCAAATTGGTATGCGTCAGGAGCGTTGGAGTAAATTGGTAAAAAGTAGTCGTAAGGATTTATTTTTGTTTGATGTACAACATTTTTGTCAAAGAACCTTTTCACTTCAGCTCTGTTAGTAAATCCCCAACTCTTTGCAGCTTCATTGAATTTCTTAAAAGACCTCCATGGATGTTGTTCGAATACTTCTTTCAAGCTCATTTATGTAAAGTTAAAGATTTTATTCTAGGCTCAAGCGCGTTCAATGAACGCGGTACCATGCGAATACAGTCATAAATGGAGGCATATAATCTTCACCCGAGCCTGTTGGATTTGTTGTGAAAGTATGTGAATGATTTCCTGCGGTTCCACAGAAAATACCTGCGCTTGAATCTACTGGGTCGCTTGAAATATCATATCTATGCATTCCCTGTCTATCCGAACCTGCTGCAAGATTTGTATAACCTCTTTTTGTTATTGAATGTGAATGATTACCTGTTGTGTTTGTAGTTCCTGTATGAGTGTGCGCAGGTAAGTTTGCTTCAGTAATTTTCTTCGAACCTCCTGTTTGCTTTGAAGAGTTAGCACAGTATAAGAATTTGTCTACAATCTGCTGCCATGTACCAAAACCTAAAACTGTTGCTGGATTTGTTGAGTTCATTGACGTATAAATAGAGCCTATAGGATATAATGTTTCAAGAATCTGAGTCTTTAATGTTTGAAGCTCTGTTTTGTCTGCTTTCTTGTCTAACATTGCGGGTAGTTCATATGCTTCAAAGTTTCTGGCATGATCTTCGATATTCCTGCAACTCTTATCTAAATTGTTAAGAGTATCTTTTACGCTTGTACTCGGATTCTCTAAAGGTGCACTTGAACCAAGGTCAAAGTTCAATATTATGTCGTCTGCTCTAACAGTAGTGAAGGATTTATGTGTATGATTTTTGTCGGCTTTACTATTTAATGTAGCTTGAAGTTCATTTATATCGGAGATGTTGTGTTTATGAGATTTCAAAACTTTGTTCGTTGCTTCGAGTTCAACTTTGTCAGCTTTACTTTTAATAGCATCTTCAAACGTTATTTTTGACTTAACTCTCAAAGTAAATCTTGGTTCAACTAGTACACCGTTAACATTGAAAGTAGAGGCATAAATTTCACCGGTATAACCAAATGCTTCTGGTGCTTTAGCTACATCATACTGTACAGTACAGCTTATGTCATAACCTTTAGCACGAATGTATTTATATCTTCTTTCATTAACATTTTTTGTCTTCACTTCATCACTTCGTGTTAAATATCCATGGTAGTCCGTTATAATCTGTTCGTCTGAACTTATATAATGAACATGGTTCTTGTCCGCTTTACTATTTAATGTAGCTTGAAGTTCATTTATATCGGAGATATTGTGTTTATGAGATTTCAAAACTTTGTTCATTGCGTCAAGTTCATTTTTGTCCGCTTTACTATTTAATGTAGCTTGAAGTTCATTTATATCGGAGATATTGTGTTTATGTTCTTTATCTGCTTTTTCGGCTAATTTCTCTTCTATCTCATTTATTTCAAGTTCATGCCTACCACCACCTCCCGAAGAAGTATTTTTCTTCAGCTCTTGAAGAACGTCCACTTCGCCATCTTTGGTGTCAATAATGAGACTTTGAGTTAAAACCTTTCCTGTCTTAATGGATGTTTGTAAAACTTCTTCTTCACCGTGTTCGGGGTCATGGTCGTCATCATATCTTGTGAAATCAGAGATGTTGTCATACATTAAGCATATCTGTCTCAAAAGTTCTGCTATTTGAAACTGGAACGAAAGATATACAGAACTTTCATCATCTCCTAAAGTCAAGTCTGCTTTCTTAAGTATTTCTTGAATGTATGCAATGAGAACAGAGTACCTTGGAAAATATTCGAACAATATTTCATTAGCTGTTGGTTTTGGTGGTTCTTCTGGAGTTTCTGTTGTTTCAGTTCCTTCTGTAGGTTCTGTTGGAGTTTCTGCATCTCTTGACTTCAATGCTCTTGCTCTCAAAGACCTAAATGTTAGAGCACCGGGTTTTACAAAGGACTTTATAAATGCTTTAATAGTTCCTGGTAAGTTATTGTTAGCATTAAGTAAGTTCCTTATGCTTCCATCATGTACGTCCATAGCACTATGTAAAAAATCTATACTTTTCTTGTAGTCAGCAATAGACTGACTGTGATTTTTTAAAGATTTGTCAATACCTTTAAGCCAATCTTCATGCATGTCTGATACTGAGCCAAGAATATCATTTGCTTCCTTTAGTGTATTTTGTGCTTCTCGTAAAGTATCCAATCCCGTACGTGCATTGTTTGCTATACGTCTTACCGTATCTATTTGACTCCTTGTTTCTTGCATCCAACCAGATAAAGTTTTAATAGTATCCGAACCATTTGAAATGAAGTTCAAAGCATTTTTAACGTCATCTAAAGCTTCTTCACCAAGTACTGCCCATATCTTTCCGATTTGGTATTGAAGAACTCCATATGAAGCAGCTGTTAAACCAGTATTTATAAGGTCCCATATCCATGATTTAGCAGTTTTTCCATTTTTTCCATCCTTTCCATCCAAACCGTTTTCGCCTTGAGGTCCTTGTATTCCTTGTATTCCTTGTGGTCCTTGAGGTCCGGTGTCACCCTTCTCTCCTTTCAGTTCATCTTTATGTTCGTTATAATATTCTAATGTCATAAGGTGTACATCATTACTGTTACCAGCAACGCCAAGAATTTGTTTCTCATTCATGACTAAATTCTTTAGGCATTTAATGTTGTCGTCAAATCGAAAGCTCTTTAACAATTCAATGAGAACATTTAATACTTTCACTAATGAGGCATCTACTGTAGAATTTATATATTGCACCGTTCCATCATTTATGATAGGAACTTTACTTATTGTAATGAATGGGTCATAAGTGTTAAAAGTATCGAAATCAATGACTTTTTTAGTTTTTCCATCGTCAATGACTAAATCATTGCCTTCAATGGTTAAAGTTGAGTTTTCGTTTACTAGTTCATGTGCTCTTCTTGCTTCATTTGTTTCATACGCATATGCAGCAATAGTCATATTTTAATGAGAATAAAATGTTGTTCTATTTGCAAAGTACAGACCCAAACGAATATGGAACAGTAAAGCTTCAAACAAACTTAGGTCTTCAGAATGAAGCACTTGCTTTCAGAGTTGTTGACTTCAATACTATCGCAACTTTTGTCATAACAGATGAAACAGATTTCATAGAGATTGAAATAGATGACAAAAGAAGTTTTATAACATTTCCTAACAGAGCAGAGTATAGAAATAGATAAAATTGCTGGAGTCATAGATACTCTCTATAAATGAAGAAACTATTGGACAACATAGATGTCGAACTCTCTTCTGAGGGAACATTGAAGTTCAGTAGCAAGAAAGAGTTCAAGATAACACGAATGAGTCATAGAGTTCAACTTCTTTTAGGAGCATACCATATGACATTTCCTTTGAAAAGTGTTGACAAAACGATTGAGATGAAATCTGTTCCATACGTATGTTATGGCAATTGTTTATACATTGAGTCTAAAAATAGCTAATGTCACAGGCATTTCAGGAGTTAATAGTAAAGGTTCAGTAGAGTATAAATCTTTCTGTTATGAAGTAAATTCAATGTTCATTCCAAACGTTCCTGTCATAGCAACTCATTTAGGTAAATGGGTTCGCATTAGTCCTCATAATTTGAAAGACATGCAATTCAGACTAGTTGACTTTCAAGGAGAGCACTGTAGAACTGAAGGCACCAGTGCGAATGACTGTTGAAGTTGACTTTTTAGAAAATATTAAATGCAACAGCTTACAAGAGAACTCAGAGCTAAAAAATATAAAGTATGAATGTTATGTATTAGGTCATGAACTTTGGTTGTTGCTGTTTGATGAAACAAATGAGTTAGTTATGTCAGTCAAGAGAACAGAAAAATATATTGTGTTAGTGAAACTGCACCAAGTCAATAAGATTAGGTTTGCATTATGAAGATGAGTTCGATACTGTTGAAGAAGTTTTGGATAGATATTACAAATTGCTTTAATTTACTAAAACATATTTCAAGCAAAGTTTATATTCTGTTGAAAGTTTTGTATACTCGTTCGAATATTTATACTTAAACTCAACTCCTGTAGTTCCTGGTGTTTCAATGATGCGGATGTTACCTATTTTCATGAATGGTGGCGTTTGACCACAGCATTCGATTTCAGGGTCGAGATAGTCAATGACACATTGCTTCCCTGTTATTCGTGATATAACATTTTCAAGGTCCTCCTTTGTTAGAATTATTTGGTTCTTGCTTATAAGATTTGTCAAAAGCTTCTTATCGTCTTTGAGTAAAATTGTTTGGTATAACTGAAGAAGGTAATGGTCTACGTTATCTGAAGGATTTGTTTGAACATTTGTGTAAGGATTGTCGTTGGCTTCTCTTGAAAGAATTTGGTCCAGTGGTGGATACTCTAACTTAACATCTGATGTAGCGTTAGCGTTTGAAGCTGTGTTTAAATTCACGGATTTCAGCTCTGGTTCTTTTTCTTTCAAACACTCTGAACTATAGTTCTTTATGACAATATTGTTTGTTCGTTCGTGAGTCAACATTTGATGTTGGTTCAATTGGAACATTAACGGCACAGCTAAGATGGATTTGCTTCTCATTTCATATAGAATAAAAACCTTTTATATGTATGAAATGAACAATATACTCGACAAGGGTTTGAATGTAAAGCTAACGAATGAAAATATTGTTTGAATTCACTGAGACAGGTGCTGTGTATAAAGATGTAGAACTACTGAACAAAAGAGCTAAGGAAGAAGCAGAAACATGAACAAAGGGTGGAAGCCTATAAAAATTTATGTCAATGATGGCTCAGGAGGTTCAAACATAAAGTATGCAGAAAGTTATAGAGTTTATGCTCTCAAAGGTGAAAAGCCTTCATTTAAGAACAGCTATTCTAACGCATATCCTCAAAAGTTAACGGATGGAGAAGTGGATGATATGAATGACAGCAAAAATATTAACAGAAATGGCGACAGAGATGCATGGAATTTGTTTACCATCAGTCAATTGAAGGTTAAACTTTAAAAACAATGTTGGTCGTTCCCATGGAAATATTTTGGACTTTAATGGTATTAGTCATGATATGAATCTCAAGGTATGAACGAGGAGAGATGAGAGACTTATATGCTTCCCAAATTTCTTCAAAAGGTAATGTTATACCTGACTGTTTCCAAATGAGTTCAATGTCATAACGTGAGAAACCTTGAAAGATAACGAAGTCAGTTATGAGACGTTTTATGTTTAAAGCTAAAAACCTCCATGTTTGCATAAGTATTGCTACAGTTAAGTGGTAATGTCTAACTTTAGTAATGATGTTAGCTAATGGTGAGTCTGGTTTTGACACTAAACCTTTTCCGGCGAAGTCGTCACAAACGAGCAGAGTGTTTGAAGGATACTTTTTGAAGGGGTATTTTGAAAGTTTTGATAGAATGTAGTTTGTAAGTCGTTTCATATCGTAAACTCCTGAGTATTGACGTAAGTGGTGTTTGTCAATAATTCTTTCCATCTCCTCAGAAGTCTTTTGCATTCCTGACTGTATAAATTCAACGATGGCATAATATTTCCTCTTACGTCGAATGTAACGTTGAAGAAATTCAATGAGTTCACTGTCTGGAACTTTAACGACAGAGGCTTGAACTTTTGACATAAATGTTTTCGCTGTTGAGTCCATAGAGTCTGAAGTTGCTGATATAATGATTTGGTCATAGTAAGAGTCATTTCCTAAACGTTCTGTTATGAGTATATGACGAATGAGGTTAAATGTCTTACCTGAACCCATCTTTCCACAATAGAAATAAACACCATTTGAACAGAACTCATAGTCCTTGCTGAAAGGAAGAATGAGAGAAGAGTTAAGTTTGTCTGTAGTTTCATTCATGTCTTCATCTACGTCATGTATTAAATGCTTCATTTTATCTCCATTAAAAATGCAAGTCAGAAATATTCAGAACATAGCACCGAGTCTAACTGACAAGAGTATAAAGATATACTATGAACATGTTATGATGAAACCAACCAAAATTCAAGAAAGTCAGTATACTTATGAATATCCAAGACACTGGGTAGAGTATGTAGGAGGTGAGAAAGCTATTGAAATCAGACAGGTTCGAAGTATTCCAGCAGGAAGAACAATATTATTGAAGAACTTTAATGTTTTGAGGTATAATGATGAAACAAAGAAGCAAGATAGTTTTCCTGTTGCTGTGTATGTGAACCTAGACACAGGAGATGACATGAAAGTTTTTAACACAAAGCTTCAAACGGTAGTGAGAGAACAACTTACTGCGGAAGGACATCCATTACCTTCAGAAGTTACCATAGCATATAATTTTGAAACAAACTCAATAGATTTTAAAGTCGTCTCTGCAAAGAAGTCAGGATTTACATTTAATGAAGCAGATGTATATTCGAATGAAAACTTCAAAGCTATTGCATGGTTAGATAATGACGATTGCTTTAAGAAAATATTTAAATACAGTGACTCAACGATGTCAATAGATGACCTTCGTGGAATGTTACCATCGACGTTTACAGTAGAAGGTTCAGCAGGATTGCTTACAAGATTGTCAATTGGCGGTATTTGGTCTCGTGAGAACATTGTTATAAAATCCAGTATAAGTGAATTTGCTGAAGAATCTATATTATGTCTTTCAAACTACATGTATTCGCCGCCGAAGCATTATAGTATAACAAACTTTGTCAGTAAGTTTAACATAAGACTTGTCGAACCTTCTTCAATGAAAGATGTTGTGCTACCAAAGACGGAAAGGATGGACTCATTATTGAAATGATTTTAATAGCATATTAAATGAGCTTGTTCTTGAAGGTCATTCATGATGAAATAACTGTTGTAGAAGATGTTAGCAATTGTTCAGACATTTTGAAGCGTATAGATGAGATAAGAAAGAAGTTAGATAGACCGCAAAGCGGTGAGGGCGAAGCCCGTGAGAACGTTTATGCTTCATTGACTTTCTCCAGTAACGAGAACTTTTATGAGATAATATTGAAGAGAGATGATTTTAATATGGTGTAAATGGTAGCTTGGGCAGCTTTAGGCGCAATGGGAACAAAAGCATTAGCATTTGGAGCAAAAGCACTTGGAGCTTATGACGCAGTAAATAAAATGAGTGGAGGAAGGGTTTCGAAGACATTAGATGCAAATAAAGGGAAGATTGGAGGCTGGGTTGCAAAGAAGTTAAGATTAAATAAAATAGGGCTCATAAATAAAGCATCCAATTTGGTTGCGACTGAGTCAGAAAATGCTTTAGGAAAGGACGATGAGTTTGCAAAACATGCAAAAGACTTTAATGACCAGATGAAAGGTGAAACAATGCATTTAAATAGATTCGATGGAACTAAAGAAAATGTTTCTTCTCCACCAGTAGTTCTTCCGTATGGTCCCTATGGAATGTATGGAAACCCTTACGAAAGACCATTTGACCCATTGACTGGTGGAAGTAACTGGTATCATTACGGCCGAAGAAGAAAGACAGTCAAGTTGGAGACAGACGTGAAGAAAGCAACTAAAAAGAAACCAAGGAAGAGAGTTATAAAGCAATGAATTCAACAGGGTGAAAAAAGAGGTGAAAAAAGAGGTGAGATCTCACCACTTCACCTAAATTTAAATGGATGTTTTCATACGTGTGGGAGTGGTGATATCATTTATTTTTTATTTTATTTTTTATTTTATTTTTTATTTTATTTTTATATAAATGACGAAAACTATTGAGATAACAAACTACAACGGTCATGAGTTCAAGAATTTGTTCTTCGTTCCTCGTGAAAATACATTCTATCAGATACGAGGGAGAAAGGGTAAAGTTAGTTTGAGCGTTTATGACTACAAGCATAATGGAAAGTTTATACAAGCATATGATACAAACGGTAAGCGTGTTTCATTAGCTTTGTCAAAACTTACAGGTATAAACTATGACAGTGATTTTGACCTATATGAAGAAGAAAGTGAGTCAGAAGATTATGAGCTGTTATATGAAGCACAGCAATGGGAGGAGTTGCAATACTTTTGTAAGTGAGAACGTTTATTTTTACAGTAGTGAAGTCGTTTGTGAAAACGTTAGTGAAGTGAAGTGGTTGGCGGCTTTATAAATATTTAAGGTTAAGTTGGTGTTGTCGTTTGTGTTGTAAAATATACGTTAACGGTTTTGTAAAGTGTCAAATTCACATATCATGGGTAAGGAGGCGCGCAGTGCCTCCGTACCCATGATATGTATACTAACTTTTGTATGTAGGTTTTTAGTTCGATTGGAGCTGCTTCATAATGAGATCTCTCATCAATTGATGAGGGAGATCATAACAAAGCAGCTCTAATGTATATGCTCGTATTAACCGGGTTGTAATGCGTTGTAACGTCAGCTTGTAGTTCGTTTGGGGCCACTTCACATTGAGATGAGAAGAAATGATTAAAGGACTCTGAAAGGCTTTGGCCGTTGATGTTGTAATCGCATTACTTGGAACTAGCTGGATGCTAAGCTGTGTAGAATGTTCGATTAGAGCTGTTTTGATATGATTTTTCTCATCATAAGATTGGAGGAATCATAGCAAAACAACTCTAATGGGTTTACCATCATCTACTTGTATGTAGATGTTTGGGAAATTGTCTTGTTAATCGATTTTCGAGATGACTTTCAAATGCTATAATCAAATGACAAACAAGTCTAAGATTTCTCGACAATACATCAAATCATGATGTTTGTAAGTGCGATGAGATTAGAGTTTTTGAAGGAATGACAAGAGAAGTAGGGAAACTCGGCATTCGCCGAGCAAATTAAAAATTAACGTATGGATTAAATTTTAAGAGGAATTCAATTTTAATTACGGGTTGTTCAAATATTGATTAATATAAATTTATTAATAAGAATAAACAATTTTTGTTTTTGAATTTATTCAATTTATAGCTTTACATATAGTTTCAAAATTGTACAACTATGATTATTTCAACAAAAAATATCTTACTTTTTCACTTCACTTTCACACTCACTTTTTCCGTAATTCAAATTTCAACATTATGTATTTTAATTCCTTATAGTATTTTTAACATAATTAATCAAATAATAATTGGAAGTTCTGAACTCACTTTTTCCGTAATTCAAAATCAAAAATATGAATAATATATCTATTTATTATATACTAATGCTATTTTCAACTAGAAGTGAGGTATGGTAATCTTACGGATTCCCGTAACTCAATTTTACGGAAAAAGTGTCGTAAACTATTGATGTGGCGGTAAAATCACGGTAATTCACGGAAAGCTATATGCGAAAATTTGAAATTATACAAAATCGAGCGAAACACTTTTAAATAGGTTGTTCTCGTATTTAAAATACTATTCCCAGATTTATTGTCGTCAGAATATTTCCAAATTTTTGCCGATTTACAAAAAATGATTTACAAAGCATATTTTTTAATCTAAAAAATTCCTAAATAAAGGAACCGGTGTGCGGAAACCTCGGTAAATTACCGCGGTTCCCGTTGGGACTGCCATATTTAACCCATAAATAATATGATTATTTTGATTGAAGATAGATATAAAACCAAATCAGTGTTAGATTGTATTGCAATCATATTGAAACTTAACAGATTAACTGAATACTATGAGGAGCCCCTTCAAAAGAAAATTAATGGATCTCATTTGCACTATCGTTCAATCCTTCCATTCAAATTTTCAATCAAATCTGTTTTTGTTTTTTTCAGTAGATCCGAAAACATGATATAATTATATTTATTGAATCATTCACTATGAAAAATTTGAAAGCAAATTCTAATCTGCTTCGCGGTTTTCTCAGAAAAAAAGATTCGAATATTAATTACAAAACACACTTGCAAATATTATCTCCAATATTTTCCAAAATTTGAAAATCCTAAAAATAATTTTTTTTATCTGATCCATTGATTTAACTATTCAAAATGATCTCTTTTCTATTCTCTCTCACTGTTTCCTATGATGTAAATTCTTCCACAACATGCAGACTGTCTAATTGCGTCTTAGATTTCGAAGATCTTAACGATTCTCAAGGAAATTTAAGTCAAGTTTCAATTTTCTTTTCTGATGCAAACGTTGATATTAAAAATTTGCCAACAAACCTCACATTGGGTCTTGGAGGCGATTCTTTACTCGTAATTAATCGAAAAACAAATACAGGGTTTAAAATCATTCCAAATCTTAATATTCAGTTTAAACTAAACTTAACAAAGCCATCATACATTAACATTTATGGAAAACTCCTATCAAACGCGTTAACAACAATCTCATTAACAATTAAGTGCTATGATGAAGCAACTGTTGTATTTTCTCCAACTACATGGGTTCGCAATATGTTCTTCATTATTAATTTTTATTCAAACTTGAAAATCATTTCGAAATGTCAAGAACCTCCAGTTTCAATCAATAGATACAACAATTCAAATTTATTATTACAATCCGAAGTACTTAACTTGAATATTCACAGAGGAATTCGAGTTATTGGCGATTTGATTGTTTCATGCACTCTTCCTCAGTCAAAAGTCTTAATTAGTGATGTGACTTTCAGAGACAACTCAGTAAAATTTGTTTCTACCGCAAAAACGTTCTTAATTCGACGTTTTCATTTAGAAGATGTGATAGTTAACGCAAAGAAGGTCAAATTGCAAGTTTTGGACTTCTTACGAATATCAGATTCGTCTAAGCTGATTGTTCAGTCTATTGATGCAACAAATATCGCTTTTGTCTACGATTCAACTAATTTACCACGAATTGTTTCAGACAGCATCACATACAAGAACATATATGTTAAAGTATTAAGTAGCGTAGCGAATATTAGAACAGATATATTCCAATCAAAAGAAAAAGTTGATTTTTCAGTTCCTACTTTATCTGTTTACGATAAGAGCAATACCTACCTCCATTTCGAAGTTTTCAATAATGATGCAACGTACGGATTGATAATTTACAACCAAATTACTGATTTTTATAGAAAAATTTATTTGACTGAAGGAGAATGCTCCCAGCAATCAAACATGCGCTGCTCATCACTCCTACACCTCAATAACGTCCTAGAAAACGTCAGAACTGCTATGTCGCCGCTGACAATTTTCATTGCAGACAAATACGAAGAAATTGTGAACTTTACAATTAATGACAAGGTTGCAGATTCAATCAACATCACGTTTCTGAACAAAAACTACAAACCAAAGGTAAATTTGACAATTTCATGCGAAATCACGTCTCTGCTGATGAATGGAATAGAAATAGTGGCCTTGAAGAACAACAAACTCATTAAAAACATTTATGGCACAAACTGTTCGTTCAGAAATGGAATTTCGTTGAATTCTTCCTATATCAGCTTAATTGACCCTGAAATTGAGGGTGATTTGTACTTAAACAGCAGCCACGCTATCAAGCTGAAATATTACGATACTAAGAATCTAACACTTTTCTTAAATGACGAAAATTTAATTTTATATCAAAATAATTTGAAGTCAACAATCAATTTGAGCGATCATAATTACGAAGAAGTTGACATATATTGCGATGACTACTCAGTTGTTGCAAACAGAACAGATATGAACTCGATTTTGCTTGGAGGAAATTTCTCTTTCTCAAGTCTGAAAGATTATAACATCCTTAACTGCGTAGAACCATCTGTAGCCACTTTCAGTCCGAATGAAGTCGTGAGAAACTTAAATTTGTACGGAACTGCAAAATTTTATTCAAAAAATTCTGTTTCTGACCAATCAAACATCACTTTTCGGAGCCAGAACGCACACATTGAGTTCTACGAGAACGATTCAAAGCCAGTTGGCCCGAACGAGCTTTTCCTTGAAAATCCATCGAATTACGACTCAGATTACGTCGAAATTCAACCGAAAATTTTGAATTTGTCATCAAATACTGCATCCAGAACTGTTTTACCATATATGTCTTCGATCAAAGCGAGATATTTGCGAATTCACGATCCCTCGTTTGTTTTAGGTCATGTGTTTGAAGGTGTCGAGGAAATAGATGTTGATTACTCCATATTTGCGATTGGGTACCTTTCCTGCTCTAGAATTGTTCCTTTTGACGAAAAAAAGAAGATCAGGTTTAATTTTGTGAATGAAAATCAGAACGACCAGTTCTTTTACGATGACGATTGGTCACTGTTCGAAATAAGCGTGGTCTGTTTCAAAGATCCGAACTACAAACTGAATATTTCGAATTTCGAGTTCAAATTCAAGAGTATTCACTGGAATTTCGAAGGAAACAGGTCAATATTCGAAGCATCAGCAAGAGATAACTGCATTGTGCTCAAACACTCCGAAAACGGAGGAAAAATTCCAGATAATCCGAAACAGAAAAAGAAATACATGGTTTACGTAATTGTTGGGGTGTCTCTGTTTGTTGTTTTGGTTATTTCGGCCACTATAATGTATTTCGTGTGGAGAAAGGCAAGGAAAAACAGAATTGAATCTTTTATCTCGGATACACTCTCTTCAACCCTTATTTAATGGTATGTCTATCATATCTGTCTATAGTTTTTTTTATTTTGTTATGTTTTATTTCTAATTTTGTAAATTTTCTCTATCCAAAGTTATTATTTTTTAATATATTCATATGTTATATGGAGATTAACTTAAACTCTAATATTATCATTGTCCACAATTGTGTCTATGAGAATCAAAATGAAGAGAAATATTGCAATGTATATTGTTCAAAGGTAAATACCATGTCTTCATAATTAATTGCGACTAGTCTAATTCATATAACATAGTTTTTATTGATTAAATCAAATTGAAAAAAAAATTGACGATAATCATCATAAATACCGAAATTCCAAGTAAATATAAATGCAGATATCGTTACATATTTGAATGAAGAAGAAACAATTAAAATTAGATTTCACAACTCAATTCTTTGGAGAAATTTCATAAATCGTCACTTTTTACATGTTTTTAGTAAATTAATCAAGTATTAGAATGGAACACAAATTTCGATTTAGCCGGATAAGCAGTTTTGAATAGTTTACAAAATTTTTGATGAGTTCAAGCATTCATATGTGTATAGTCACTTAAAGAAAATTAAATAAAATTCAATAAGATTCCATAATTTTTTACTCATTGTGAATGCCGGTAGGCTGATTGAATTTTTTGAATTCTCAAAAATTGGATGTTTTTCGTTTATGCTTTCTTTGCCTTTTCCGGAACATACACAGGTGATTACAACTCAATCATTAGTGATAGCTCATCATCCTGTATTGTCCAAGATGCAATTTTCGATAATTTCGACTTAAGATCAAATTCACAAAGTTTAATTAGTATTGGTTCAACATCAACAACATTAAGAATCACTACAACAACATTTTTCCATATCCAATGCAGCTTTCAAGGTGATATTTACACTAAAGGTCCAACAACACTTGAAAAAACGTGTGCAACCCAAATGGAAAACACAGTCACTGCAGCATTTCTTAAGCACGAAAATACCAACATTCAAATGACATATGTGTCAGTTACTGATTCTCCATCCACTTCCAACAAAATCATCATTGACTCAAAATGCAATGGTAATTTCCAGTATGTGAACGTATCGGATGTCTATGCACCTTATGCCTCGTTAAACTACCTGTTGCCATCCCAGCCAATCAAGTATTCAGAGCTAATCAACAGTTCTCAGACGAATCAAGCACTTTTTGTACAGACAACCAACGGCAAAGTCGATTCCTGCATATTCTACAAGAACAACGGGCCAGCCTGTTTCATTGAAAAGATCACTGGATCCATCATTTCGAACAGTTATTTCATGGATAACAAGTTAGACCTACTTTTCATCAGTTCCACAGTTACTGTCACCAACTGCTACTTCTGGGACATGTCGTACAGTGGCTCTGCCTTCTCAGTTTCGATGAACGTCCATACTTACGGTGCCGGATTTCCAGAAAACTTCATTTCGAACGATCCAAACTGGGGAAAGGCCAACTACAAGTGCGATTACTACACATTCCAGCCCCCGACATGGGTGAATCTCCCGCTCCTTCCACTCCAGTCCAAACTGCTTTCGAAACTCCATTTTCTACACAGATGATGACTGCAGTTCCAACAGCAGCAGAAACACCATTCACAACAGTGTTCCAAACAGCTGCAAACACTCCATTTGATACAGTGTTTATGACAGCGTTTCGCACAGCAGAGGAAACTCTTTTCAAAACAGTATTTGAAACAGCGAAAGAGACACCACTCAACACTGCATTCGAAACATTCAAAGAAACTCCAGTTATAACTCCTTCTCTCACAAACAAGGAAACACCATTTGAAACAGTCCATTTGACTCCATTTTCTACATTTGTAGAGACACCGTACAAAACACCATTTCTTACAAGCAAAGAAACACCATTTTCAACTGTAAAATACACAGCGAAAGAGACACCAGTTGAAACAGTCAAATTCACTGAGAAAGAAACTCCGGTGGAAACTGTTTTCATGACTCCGAAATCAACATTTGAGCCAACAAACATCCCAAGGACTCCTCAAGAAACAAATCCACCGCAAACACCAGGAGAAACACCAAATCCAACAACTCCTGTTCCTTCGAATTCCCCTCTTCCTGAAAATATCAATTATGCAAATGAGGATCCGAAATACAACAGCAAATTGAAGGCAGCAACATGGGGAGGAATCTCTGCAGGTGTTGTGATAATTGCAACAATAATTACGATTGTCATCATTAAGTTTAGAAGGAAATCAATAATAAGAGTTCAGAAAATAGAAGCAAAGACAGAAAATTCTGTTGCAACTGACTCCTATGATTTCTCAAGTGAAGAATTCATGCCAAATGAACCTTTTGATATAAAAGGAGATGAAGAAGTTCAGCCTGAATCTGAAGTTTTCGTTGGAGAACATCAGAGAGAAAATGAATCTGACATTGTTCTTGATATTCCTGAACTCAAAGTGAATGATTCCATCGTTGATGGAGCTTTCAAACAGAACAACAATATTAACTATATGTTATATTAAATATTATGTTTGTATTTCTTTATGTAATAATCAACTCTCTATTTTTTTTTAATTCAATTGAATGATCGAAATCATTTGAACCGATCTTCGTATTTCTAGAAGTATTGGATTTAATATTGTATGAATGTTGGTATATATTAAATGTGTGAATGGGTTATAAGAAAGTCTTACTCATATCTTAATATTTCGAGAGTATTTATTTTTTTCAAACAAAAAATTGACTTTCAATAGAATAAATAACGTGCTTTTTTAAATAATTTTGCCGAATTAAAGAGCATGAAATTTACATCGTAGATTACATTACAATCTATTTTCATGGGTACTAAGGCTATCTCTGTTGATTTGATCTATTAAATAGCTAATATTTGCTTTTTCAAATCCGATTATAATTAAGGCTTTTCTAATTTCTTTCAAAAATAGGTTATTTATGCAGAGATAAAACTATAATTGATGGTGTGCATAACAAAATCTCTATCTTTTACACAGTGAAGATTGAAAAATATCGAGAAAAGTGTCAATATTGATTTGAATTGAAAATCTGGGAGATAAGTTTCAGATAGAAGTAAAATAACCCAAATTGTACATCAAATCTTAGACCTGCTCTACATATCATGCTAAAATCCATAAGAGTTAAAATTAAAAGAACCTATAAAATTAAAAATATTCGTTTTCATTTAATTTTACACCGAAAAAATTGAAAGTTTTTAATTTTATTACATAATCATATTAGGTCTTTAATTAATCAAAAGATTAGTCAAATTCTGCCTTGACAATCAATTCAAAAGAACTGTATTTTTTGATTGACGAATTTTTGTATAGAATTTTTGATAAGAAATTGACAATTTTTGAGAGCAATATGAGCTATTTAATATTTATAAGTTATTAGTTAATATATAAACAAATCGATCAAATTCGTAAATTATTCAAATGGATTTGATTACTAATATTAACAACAATGATGTTTAATAAATAATTAAAATTAATATCTTACAACTCAATTTTATTCTCGAATCATTCAATTTTTGAATTCTCACAAAAATTTTGCAAATTACCTCAGACTTTTCAGAGGATTGAGTTGCCACTCAATCCTCTGAAATAGTCTGTGGTAATTTTTAGTCTCTACACTATTTCAATATAAGCTCCATTTTTAAACAGTTTTTAAAAATCGAGCATTGAAAAGTGTGATGAGACTTTCAAATTATTTTGCAGCGTCAATTCTGCAGTAATCTCAGATGAATATGCTAGTTGGCTTCATGAAATAAAACCCGTAAATTTCAAATTTGATAATAATATCTCTATTTTCTAATTACAACTATTTTTAATAAAATAATCAATATATAATTTAATGTTTCAACGTTATATTCAAAAGTGTTTTGAAAGTCATATCAATTTCATCGAATATAATTAGCGTTAAGAGTATATATTAAATTTTTCATTCAAGATTTAATTTGATTAAAACGAATTCTTTTCAATTTTCTAAAGGTATTATAACCCCTAATTTTATTTTGCATAATTATTTAACAAAATCACTAATCCTAAAATGTTAAATTTATTTAAGTTTCCTCTCAAAAAACTTCAAAATGAATCAAGAAGAGATCGATTACCTTGAAAGCATGGGCTTTACTGTTCAGGACACAATTGCCAAAGGTGGCTTTGGTACAATCCATACAGTATATTCCAAACTATACAAAATTGTTTTTGCAATGAAGAAAATCCCAGAAACCCTATTCAATGAGGCAGAAATCGAATGCTTAAAGGCAATTGATAATAATAAGATTATCCATCTGTATCATTATTTTAGATTCAAAGAAAATGTTTATCTTTTAATGGAATATTGTCCAAATGACCTCCAAAACCTCATAAACAATGGAGAAGTATGCACAGAAGAGGAAATTATACGCTATACATATGGGTTAATTCAAGCTGTCAAAGCTGTCCATGATTCAAAAATCGCTCATTGTGACATAAAGCCTTCTAACTTCCTAATCGATAACTATGGAAGAGTAAAAATCAGTGACTTTGGACTTTCCGCATTCTTTAGTGATGAATCTCTATGCAGCATAAAAAGAGGTACTAAACTATTCATGGCTCCAGAAATACTTGTAAAACAGCCATTCGATGCATTTAAATCCGACATTTGGGCCTTAGGTATTACAATCTACTATATCGCAACAGGAAGATTACCATATTACGGAGGAAATGCACAAGAGCTATTGGAAAAAATCCAACTTGGAGGTTATTCATTAGAAAATGTGAAGAACGTATATTTAAAGGAAATAATATATAAATGTCTGCGTATAAACCCAGAATGTAGATCAAATTGCGATGGTTTACTTTCATCGCCACTATTTGATTCTGTTAGGCAAATTAGAGAAGGATTTTCCCAAATGAATAAGTTTATTCCACGAGGAAATAGTCTACAAGTACTTTGCAATGTTACACGAAGCAATAAGTTCCCAAAGGTATCAATTATACACCCAACAATTAAAGCATCCAGATCACGACATTCTGTTGCTACACTTTCTAGACTTGCAACACGAATACCAGAGGAAGATATCAAATAATATATTATATTGATATATTTTTTGTATGTTATAATAAATTTATTCATTTAATATATATTAGGTTCTACTTTCACTTAAATTCATTTTAAACAAGAACTGTGATAATCGGAATTAAGCAAAATCTCCAAATAATGAATGTATCTTATAATTATTAGAGTGTAGTTCTGATCCAATACTATGTTTTAATCGAACGTATTAGTTAATCTGACTACTGTTGAAGACAAAGAAGAATATATCATCATGAGGCGAATCGTTACTTATTTGATTTTTGCTGATAGTTCCAATCTACATTAGGGGTTGACTGATTGATTTTAGCAATATAAATGTTCCATTTTATCACTCAATATCGAAAAAAAAAATCAAAAAAGATCAATGTAAATTGTCAAAAACAAAAAAAACAGAATTTTTTTTATGAAGAAAATACTTTGTGTTGCAGAAAAGCCTTCGGTGGCTAAGATTGCAGCACGAGTATTATCCAACACGAAATATAAATTTATCATGGGAGAAAGTAAATTTAATCCAAATTTCGAATTCACAACTAAATATTCCAATGAAGAAGTCCAAGTGATATTCACATCTGTACTTGGTCATATTTTTGATACTGATTTTCCAGCACAATACTTACAAAATTGTAGAAATTACGAATCTGAAATTTTATTTGACGTAAAAATCGATCATTTCATCATAGAGAAGCATAAACCAATAGTAGAAAACATAAAGAAATACGCCGCAGATTGTAATATTGTTCAATTATGGCTAGATAACGATAGAGAAGGAGAAAGCATTGCTGAAGAAGTAGAAATGATATGTTTAGAAGCAAACAAAGACATACAAATACAGAGAATTGTTTTAGTGCTCTTTCTTACGAAGATATAATCAAGGCTTTCAATAATCCATCGAATATAAACAGAAATGAAGCCATGGCAGCAAAAATCAGGCGAGAAATTGATCTAAGACTTGGTGGAGTATTTTCCCATTTCCAAACTCTTAAAATGAAAAAATACATCGAAGAAAAAAGAGAAGAAGTGCTTTCATACGGTCCCTGCCAACTTCCTACCCTCGGATTCGTCGTCCACTCCTTCCTCAAAGCTCAGAAATACAACAACTACCCTGAAAAATGCTGGAAAATCGATGTCCACATCAAAAAAGGTGACAAATCTTTACAAATTAAATGGAATCGAAAACACCTGTTTTGCAAGGTTTCCTGCTTCGGTCAGTTCGCGAGTATGTTCGATTTCCCATCAGCTATCGTGACCGATATCCAAATTACAGAAAGTGAAGTGACCAAACCGCAACCGTTAACCACTGCTACTCATTTGATCAATTGCTGCAAGTACCTCAAACTTAAAGCCTCCAGGGCGATGGCGATCACAGAGAATCTGTATAACAACGGATTTATTTCGTATCCGAGGACTGAAACTGACAGTTTCCCTGACAATTTCAATTTTGTCGACATTTTGACAAATTTGACAATTGACAGAGAGGTCGGAGGGATGGCGTACGAAGTGTTGAACTCCCTGCAGAAGCCTCTCAAAGGGAATTGCACCGACAACGCTCACACTCCGATTTATCCAATTGTTTGTCCGTCAGAGTTTAATTCAAAAGAAGAAAAAGACGTTTTTTATTTAATTTGTCGTCACTTTTTTGCGGTTTTGTCAAGTAATTGTTTGGTTACAACCAAAACGACTGAATTCGATGTTGGCGGAGAGTTGTTCCACTACAAATCGAAGACAATCAAACAAATTGGTTTCATGAAATATTTCGATTACTTCAAAATTAAAGAAAAAAGTGACATTGATTTTTCAATGAATGAAAACATTGAAGTCGAATCGATCAAGATGGTGAATACATCATACAAGAAGCCAGAACTTCTTAGCGAGTACGAGCTGATAGACAAAATGAACAAGAAGAAAATCGGAACAGACGCAACTTTTCACCAGCATATTTCTAAATTGGTCGAAAGAAAATACATAAAAATTGACGGGAACGGAAAGATACTTCCCACAGCTGTTGGAGCCGCCCTTGTTGCAGCATATGAGAAATTGAGGATAGGATTTGCTCGGCCACAGCTAATGGCTGATTTGGAGCAGAGTTTGAGAGAGATTTCGGAAGGAAAAAGGAAATCTGATGATGTTTTGAAGGATTTCATTAGAAGGTACATGGAAATATTCGAAAAGATATATATTAATGCTGATTCTTTGTGCATTGAGTTCTCGAAAGCAATTAAAAAGTTTTCAGAAGATATTGAACTTAATTCACAAGAAAAAACTCCTGAAAATACTCAGGAAACCATTGAAATGGATGATGAAGTGTCTTTGACAACAGACACAAGAGCTGATGATATAAATGTTGATAGAAAATCTTGTATTATTTCTTAATTTAATTCTTTGTTTGTTTGTATATGTAAAAAGTTTATATGTTGATACTGATAACGCTTAACATATCATTTTAACCATACATTACCTTATAATTTGAACCATTTTTGTTAAAATTTGATTTGAAAACAAAAATATAATGCAAAATCGACTCGTTTTCAATCGTATTTGTAAAGTAAAATATCTGCATTTCCTTGCAAACAAATAAAATTCCAATATTTCCTACAAATTATTTATCAAATGAATAAATTTATTAATTTAATTGATAAAAAGCTACTAAAAAAGAAAGTAAATAATATTATTAAGTATTTACACAAAAAAACAATAATAAAAATTTAAATACTCTGAGCAGCAGAGCCAAGAGCGAAGATGTACTTAATTCTCTTGTACTTCAGTCGTTCCTGCACGTCTGGTTCGCAGTCAGAGTTTGGAGTCGGGGTGTTTGGTTCGTAGCTTTCTCCTTCGAACTGAGTGTTGAAGCAGAAGTACTTGTTCTGGCCAATCTGAGCACCGTTTGATAGGTTTGGTATCATGTTCGACGGAACTCCTGATCCTTCAAGGAAGTTCGTGTTATCTTTTGTAATTTTCTCTGGATCGTTGACTTTCATGTTTGAGAACTGGCAGAATGAGATTGTTGCGGTTGACGTATCTAAGAAAATGTCATTTTGCGTGTTTCTGATAAATGTACAGTTTTTGATCGTAATTGTTGAGTCTTTTAATGATAGACCAGTGCCGGGGTTGTTGTAGAAGATGGCTAATTCAATCTCGGAAAAACTTTGTAGATACAATGCAGTAGAATCAGTTGGTGCTGTATTTACGAAGAAAGAAGAGGTTATTTTGGTATCAAATTTGTTATAGTTCACGGCACATAGTTTTGGTTGGTTGCTTGTGAAGTTGTTTTGCTTAAATTCTGCTTTCATGGCGAAAATTAAATAATTTCCTTCATCACTCTTCATAACAGAGTTGCTCTCGAATCTGCTTTTCTTTTCATATCGATTATAAAATATTGAAGTAGATTTTGTATCTGTGGCTGTAGTCTTGCACTCTAAAAAGCAGTTAAATAACAAAACAGAAACACCTTCCGCGTAAATTGTATAGTATGACTCGGTGACAACTTTATTGAAATAGCAATTTTCAATATTTAGATCAGGAACTGATCCTTGATTGGCTGATGTTGAAATAATCGAAGAAGCTGAGTCTCCACGAATATCATGAAAATAGCAATTCTTGATGTAGCTTCCGCCTTGTAAATCAGGTTTTGTGGTGACTTCTTGGTTTTCATAGTTTTGATGAAGCCGAACAGTGAAAAATTTCGTAAACATTAAAAAAAATGTAAGCCATACCGAAAATTCAATTGATTGCGATAACGATAATTTTAAATTGAATTTTTCGTGTTGATTTCAGATTAGTTAATAACTGCATATCTATAATAATGATTAAAAATTGAACTTAGCGAGAAGTATTGAAATTTACAGATTTCATTGCTACATCTATACTTACCATTTATCTTATTTCGCATGTTAAAGATCTACATTTAGTTTTATTCATATCATAAGCCTAAATTTAGAAATTTTATAAAATGTTTTTCGTATTAACTCTGCTTTACTACATCATGAATTTTCTATAAATGATGATAATAATATTTGTATAACTCATTTATGTATTATTTGATCGTAATATCATCAGATGAGTCACATCTCTTGAAATATTAATATCTGCATCAATTTGAACAATATAGAATTCATTCTATAACTATTTACTATGTTAGTGCTTCGTGATTCTATAGTAGCATTTCTATCTGAAGTGAATCTTTTATTTTTTGATAACTGAAATGAAAACACTATTTATTAACAGTCTGACAATATTCGTGAAATATGAATTATGAAACCGAAATCTTTATAAAGGTGTCAAAAAAATGTTTTTGGGTCTTTTGCTTAAAATCTCAACTTCGGCTCCAATAATCACAAATTCAACATATCTCGTTTTCGAAAAGGAAGGGAAAAGGGTTGGTAAAGTTATTTTTGGATTATATTACAATGAATGTCCAAAAACAGTTGAAAACTACCTTGCTGCCTTTTCTTGTCAGCCAAAACGAGAGTTTTGCTATAACAATACTTATGTTGCTAAGCTTAATCCTAATAAAAGGCTATCAATTGGCGTGACTTTGGCCACTAAATCAGTTAAGGGAGATCACGAAAGTAACCACGAAGAAAACAAGCTATTGCATGATAGAGCATACCTGATTACATCTAATACTCACTACAAAACGTTTTTGACGGGAGAATTTTATATAACGTTTAGGGCATGGCCAAAATACAACGAAGAGAATATTGTATTTGGTAGAGTTTTGCGTGGCTTCGATGTTCTCGAAAAACTCAAAATAAATTCGAATGAAAAAGACGTAGACAAAATCAAAATAATTGATTCCGGTATTATACAAGACGATGACGATGATGATTACGATCTTTAAGGTCATTTTATTTATTCTTTGTTTTATTTTATATATATATTTTTACATTTCAATCAATACCACAAAATTGTATATTAAACATCAATATAAACGATTTTTATATAATTTAACTATACTATATAATCACATTTTTTACTTTTAGAAAAGGATGAAATTATCAATAAAAAAATAGCCAGAAATAAAAATAACAAGAAACAATACACACAAAATTATTGTTATATTAATGCATATTCTGTTTCTTTTTTTTATTTTTAGTTCTATTCACTATGTCTTCTTTCATTTTAGATTCCAATTCACTCTTATATTTTTTGCATAGAAATCAGCACTCTTACAAGCTTTGTCTATTATGTCGACATCAAAATTTGGTAAAGATCGAATGTATTTTACAACATCTATATTTCCAACCATTTCTGCATAGTGAAGAGCTGTCCTATTAAAACCATCTGTTATATTAATGTTAACATATGGAAGTGAAAAAAGATAATTAATAATTTCAACATTTCTATTCATTGCTGCATAATGAATGGCCGTCATTCCTGAGTCATCGCGGTCATTAATATTTAATATTTGCCTAAATTTGCAAAGAATTTTGATGATTTTTGGATTTTCATTTTGTGCAGCATAATGAAGAACTGTTTTGTTTGTAATATCTTTAGCTGTCAGATTAATTTTTGAATTTTGGAAAAGAATAATAATGATGTCAGAATTTGGGTTTTGAGCTGCATAATGAAAAGGTGTTAGCTTGTTATTATCGCGGACATTTAAATCTATATTTTGCATAGAGCAAAGAATTCTCAAAATTTCTGGATTTCTATTCTGAGCTGCATAATGAAGAGGTGTTTTCCCCGCCAGAATCTTTCGAATTAACTATAATATTTGGAGATGCGCAAAGAATTTTAATAAATTTTTCATTGTTGTGTAATGCAGCCAAATGAATTGGTGCCATTTTTGAATGATCAACAATATTAATATCAATATTAGGATTGTATAAAATAGATTTAAAAATTTTAGAGCAATCATGATCGATTGAATAATGAAGAGCAGTTCTTCCATAATTATCTTTGGCATTTATATCAATATTACTGAAATTTGAAAGATATATAGATGCTTTGACATTTTGATTTTCAATTGAGTAATGAAGGGCAGTTCTTCCATAATCGTCTTGTAAATTCAGATCAATATTTGGGGCTGAACAAATAGATCCAAGGATATCAATATTTTCATTTTCAGTGGCAAAATGGAGTATCGTCATTCCATTTGCATATTTCATATTAATGTCAATAGTTGGAAGATTGCAAAGAAGCTTAACAACATCAAATTTGTCAATAAAACATGCGTATTGAATTGCTGTGAATTTATCAATATAAATTTCATTGATATTAACATTTGGACATGAACAAATGTATTTTAATGCATCTATATTTTGGTTCTCAATTGTATACTGAATAAGATTCTTTCCATTTTTACCTTCTAATTTAAAAAATCCTAATTCAGACATTAATCTGATTGATTCGAAATCTTTTTCATTTGCTGCTTTTAGTAATATGCCGTAAAATAAATCGAGATTCTCTGGCTTTTTTTGATAATTCAAAATTAAATTTTGATTTGTCTGAGATTTTTGTCGCTGTAAAAACTTTGCTGCATCTGAAATTATTCTATTGTTTAATATTATTGAAAGAAATTCTAAGATTTCAAATGCAGAATCTGAATTTTCAAAGTAATTTATCTTCGCATGTTGTGAAAGTAAAAGTAATTCAGAAATTTTATACTTTTTTCTTAAAAAGGAAAACGTTTCCATAAATTGATTTGTAGAGAAGAAACAATAATCAAAGATTTGGCATAATTCGGCAAGGCTTCTATGATTAAGAAATGTTTCGTTGTCATACCAGTTGTTTATTTGCTTGGCTTGATATTCAAAATCAATTTTAATCATTTAAATAAAATGGTAAACTGTCAAAGTCAAAAATTTAATTCAAAAATTTCTGAAGAAAAATTTTTTATTCTCACTTTTTACAGAACATATCCATATTACGCACTCACAACTTTTTGAAAATAATACCCCTCTTGATTTTTTCTCCAATTTTTAGCAAAAGTTTTATTGATTATATCAAATAATCGAATTCTTTATAAGAAACGTAATTAGAATCAATAGTTCTCACAAAATAAATAGATAGATCTTATTTTATAGAATTTTCGTCTATTTTATTTTCTTGTTACGAAATGATTGCAACTCAATTTTCATAATTTGGTGGAAAATATGACATTTTTTTTCAAGACTGTAATGCATCTTTCCTGTGTCGCTATAAGCTACAACAGGTTTAACTTTGGTTTTTTCTCAGCATTCAAAAAAAAAATCGTTTGCAATCCATAATACGATTTTTTGAATGCTGAGAAATTTCATCTGTAAATAAGTTTTATTATACAGGAAAAGTTCAAAATGTCACTTTACAGACAGGAATATACATGTTGAAAGTATGGGGTTCTCAAGGAGGAGTTATTTCTGACGAAACTTCTGGTCTTGGTGCTTATACTGAAGGTATTATCAAATTATCGCGTTATACAAAACTTAACATTTACGTAGGTCGACAAGGCGAATGTAGTACATCTGCTTTAACCGATATTTTTTATAACGGAGGTGAAAATTCGATAGGCAAAATTAAAGAAAGATCCTGTACAGGGGGTGGTGCGACATTCATAACGTATGATAATAATGTTAACGATGTCATAATTATTTCAGGATCCGGCGGTGGCGCCCAAATCAGATTTAAAGGTGGTTACGGCGGAAAAATTGCTGGAAATGGTGAAGGATATAATAATTGTTTTGGTAAAGGCGCCACTATTTCATCTCCAGGCCAAGGAGGAATATATCCTGGCGCCGGTGAGGCTTCTTTTTGTCGTGCACTGGATGGCACTTTTTTGAGAGGTGGAAAATCTTGTTCAACCGCTGAAGTATCATCAAGTGGCGGCGGAAGTGGATATTATGGTGGAGGAGGAAGTTCTGACCAAGGAGCTGGCGGAGGAGGTAGTAGTTATGCTAGTAGTGTCCTAAAAAACGTAATCTATAAAAACGGAAATGAAGATTTTGTCCAACCAGATGGAACTTCTAAGAAAGGGCACTCAGGTGATGGATTCATTTCTATCGAAAAACTATTTTCATTAGCTCTCCAAACTTATTGCATCGATTTTCATTATATATCTTTCATTAATATCCTTTCTTTAATTTTTATATCGAGTGAATAAAATAAATTTTAAAGATGAAACATTTAGGATGAAACAAATAAAGAATATGCATGAAAAAAGAATGAATAAAAGAATAAAAAAAAATTATTGTCCGACAATTATTGAAATTCCTCCTAGACTATCAGCAACAATTACAAACAAATGCGATATGGAGGAGTTATGAGCGAACGCCGCAGCTTTTATTTTGATTTCCTTTCCAAAAGAGAAACCTTCCGCGGTTTTCGATCTGTCTTTCATGAAAGAGTGGAAAATGGCCTCACTCTTGTAGTACTTTTCGTGGTTAACAGGCCACAAAAATACACCGTTGTTATCTTCGCTCGGAATCAGGAACAAATTCTCGTCTTTTGAGACACTGAGCTTCATATTTCCATTCTTGCAACAATGACCAATGTATTTCCTGACAATTGTGAAATTATCTGCAGAAACTAATCTGATTCTAGAATCATTTGTTGAAACAAGGAAATTGTTACTCCCGATGAATGATATAGATGTAACTTTCTCATTGGGAGCTTCTGATTTCGCTCTGGGACCTGCTACAAATTGGGAAATATATCTAAGGTCAGGATAAGAATAGACGTAGCAGAATCCATTCTGACAGCCAACAATTATCAGTTCACCATCAGGAGAGAACGTAATTGCTGTTGGTGGCGTAATATAACTTAATTCTTGTAAGATGATGTTCGTTTGGCAATTAAGTAGGTGAATCATGTTGTTCCCAGTTGAGAATAGAATAACTGATGGGTCTGTAGGATGGAAACAACAATCTGTGATTTTATCATTACTATTGTAAGAAAATATTGATCTTTCGGAGGCAAGGTCCCATATTTTTATGGAGTTATCTTCTGAACAACTCACTAGCATATTGTCTGGTCCGAACTTCAGAGTTGAAATTGCATTTTTATGGTCAGAGAATTTTTTTAAAACATCAAGTGTTTTCGTATCTAAAATCAATATTTCGCCATCACTATATCCCACAGCTGCATACTGTGAGTCACTCGATACGTTCAAACATTGGATTTCGCTTGATAAGTATTTTTTATAGGTTTGAATATGAATGTTTTGATAAAAATGCGATTTCTTTTCTTTGATGAATGACTTAAATTCCAAATTTTTTGGCAGTTCCAGTTTATTTTGACTTTTCAAGTTAGAGTTATATTCTGGCTCGTATTTATCAATAAATTCATCTAGTCTAATGATTTCTCCTGTGTCCAGATTCTTAATCCGAAAGATTGGATCAGAATCAGTGTACTTTGATTCTTGAAGCATCATTTTATCTGAAAAAATTTATGATTCGATAATTCAATTTATAATTCAATTTTATTAATTTTTAATATTCAAAATAAGATAAATTTATGTGTGCTGATATTCAGATCGAAGACGGTTGCATAGTTATTTGATAGGAGCACGTTTGAAAATTTTTATATTATATTTATTAATATATAGTATAATTTAATATTTTTACCATTAAATTTTTTAAAAACCGCAATGATCGTATATTTTCTGAATTTTGACTTGAATACTTTCAAAAATATGTTATAGGATTATGTATCAATTTTATTTTTTCAGATTTGCAAGATATTTTCCGATCATCTTAAATTATTTGACATCTCGCAAATAACCATTTGATTAACTTCATATTGTGATACTTAATAATTATATTCCATTAAATTTTATTAAAATATCAAAAAAGGCCAAATGTCTCTAAAATTTTGGATTTTAATCTAATATAATATAGATCCAAGGTGATGTGATTTTTGCATCCCTGGGATGGACGATACACCCAAAGTGTCACCTTTTTGGGATAACATGAATTTTAAATATCATGAGAGTTCTGCAAACCATATGCACAATATCTATTCAGCCTGACTTCTTGTATATATGAGTTAGACTTCTTAAATATTGTGCTTGGGGCGATATAAGCATTTCCGAGATTACCATCGTGCTCTATAGTATGCTACTTCTCCCTGGTTCTAGCTCAGTTCCAAGGATATTGGCGTTCAAGGATTTGGCAAGGTCCTTCCGAAGTCTCTCATTCGATGAGAGATTTCGGAAGAATCTTGCCTTAAAGTACTCCAACTCTTGTTCTTTTGTTCCTAAATAGTGAGAAAAGTTATTTGACTACTTAAGGTAGAGATTATCCGAGGTCCCTCATTTGATGAGAGGCCTCGGATAATCTCTGCCTTAAAATTGTACACTTGTAGTCCATGAGAGTGTAAGTATACATTGATAGAACAGCTTTCTTCTGAAGTCTTAGATTTGATGAGAACCTCAGAAGAAAACTGTCCTATTTTATAGTAAAAGGAGTTTCAGGAGCTCCAAAGCTCCCTTTAGTAAGGATTAGAAGCTTTGAAGCTCCTGGTTCGTAGACGTGTTTCGCATCTTTCATCAGAAGAGGCCCAAATGGTAAATAGCCTCTGCTGATGAGCTTCAGGAGCTCCAAGGCTCCCTCTCGTAACGATTAGGAGCTTTGTAGCTCCTGAAGGTAAGGTAGGATTGCTCTGATCTCTAATCAGTAGATGCCATGCCTCATTATGAACTCTACTGACAAGAGATCAAGAGCTCCAAGGACTCCCTTTTTAGTTAGTGGCGTTCTCACCGTTTAGTAGGATTGCTGATCCTACTAATGAAGTGACCACTTAGTATACGTTTTGAATAAATTGAATTTTTTTTAGAATTTAGTATTTTTTATAGACATCACATGTATATTATAAATACATAAATATATTCTTTAATTCAAAAAATTCAATTCGGTTTTGGGATGGGTATCCCAGCCCCAAGTATTCAATTTTATTCAATTTTTAAAGAATTTTGGGTTGGGATGCCCAGACCAAAACAAGCTTTATACTTTGATGTGTAGATACGTATGTGTGCATCATTGTTGTGTTATATATTATGTTTTTAATGAAAAAAAAATCTGATTCAAAAAAAATTATCACTAATTAGTTGATAATATAAAGAAAAAATAAATAAATTGTATGTTTTGAGAGTATTTATCCACATTCACTCATATGAATTTCATTAAATAGTGTCTTTTTACTCCCAAATTTATTTTGAATTATTGAAATCAAAGAAAAAAAATCAGAAAAATTTCTCGAAATTTTTATTTTCAAAAAAAAATTGGATTTTATATTGAAAACAGACACTGGGAGGACGATAGGGCTGGGATTGGAGATACCCCCCTCACTTGGGAAAAATACGGATCTATATTAATATAAGGATGTCAATTTGGAAGAAAAGTGAGAAAATTCCTAAAATGCTAAAAATGAATTTTCCAAACGTGCTTTTTTATCTCATTTTTTTGATTTTGAAAAAAATTTGGAGAGAAGAACTCTTCGTTTTTGAATTTTGTCACGATGGTTTTAAAGTATATTAGACACATGTAGGGCTGTACAAGATTTAAAAAAACATTGCCGGGTTACCGTAGAGGCCTAAAAAAATCGCGCCTCGGCGGCAAGCCGCCTCGGCATTAAGAATGCGCATCTAAATTTTTATATGTCCTTCTTTCTTTTATTTTTCCCTTCCCTTCCTTTTCTTTTTCTTTTTTTCCCTCCTCTTGCTCTCATTTACCTTTTTTTTCCTTTTCTCATCATTTTTCAAAATTTAAAATTTTTATCAAAAATCTTGCCTATAAAAGCAGATTATGGAACCTTTTAGTGCCTCGTAATCAATATTATACAGCATAAAGCATATTAAATGAAAGTAATTACGTATAAATTTATTTTATTATCTTATTTATTAATTCTTTAGCATGTATTGTTTAATATTAACTTTTCTGTACATTAAATATGATATCTCCAAAGTATGAATGCCTTGTAACGAAACGAAAACTTAATTTTATGTTGAATATTTGTCACAAACATTAGATTATTAAAATATATGTTGGATATCCCTTAGTATGAGACTTCATGACTCTTGTTGTCTAACGTGAGCTTTGGATTGCAAGCTTGCTACAGCACATAAGTATTCTGTGGTTAAAAAAACCACATGAGCTTTAAAAACTATAAAACCAAAAATAATTGTTATAATTTAAATGAAGAAGTAATTTAAAACGATTTTATTTATGATCAAATTTTATATATTTTTTGGATCAAATCCATTTTAATAGAATTTATATACTATTCATCTATTAGTAAACACTACCGTATATTATTTTTTAAGCTATCTTATTTTTTGAACTTTTATTCAAATCTTTGGTCGCAAGAAGAATTGCATGATAAATAAAAACCTTTAATCAAAGTCAATTTTATTTTTCATATTCAAATGGACTGAGTGTTAACATTTAACATTTTTTGCTAATTGTCGTCAAAAATTAGGCGTAAAGCAAAAATTGATATTTCATATGGTTTTATGATAGATAAGCATTATATTCCCACTCATTATATTCGTAATTTTTGAGGTTTATCCTTCGCTTTTAAGATCATTGAATTTGATTTTTATATAAAATAGTTATATATTAGAAAATAATATGAGTTTATATGATATTATTTTTCAGAAGATTTCATTCTATATGCCTATGAAAAGTACTCACAAAACTAACTTTTTCCTAATTATAATTAAATCTAGAATATTGTATTATGCTTAGTATTATTTCATTTTTCTCATTCAATTTAGAATTTACAAATGTCAAAAAATTGAGAGCTGTCACTTTTGATGAATTTCTGTTTATTACAGCATTGTTATTAATAATGAAAAATAAAGCTTATTTCAATGAAAATTGTTCTGCAAATTTATTTCACTTTTGACCTCACTTTTTCCGTAATTCAATTTTTTACTTTTAATATTTTAGATCTTCATAATATCATTTGAAAAATTAACCATATAAAAAAATCAAGTTATCAATTCACTTTTTCCGTAATTCAAAAATCAAAAATATAAATAATATATTTTTATCAAATATTATTATTATATTCTATGAAAAATGAGGTCCGGAAATTTTGCGGATTCCCGTAACTCAATTTTACGGAAAAAGTGCAGTAAACTATTCAAAATACGGAAAAATTGGTGTAAACTAATGATTTTACGGTAAAATCACGGAAAGTCCCGGAAGAATATATGTGCCTATATGAAATTATACAAAAATGAATCAAACGCATTTTAAAAGATTGTTCTTGTATTATAAATGCTATTCGCAGATTTATTAGTTGAAGAAAATTACCAAATTTTTGCCGATTTACAAAAAATGATTTACAAAGCATATTTTTATAAGGCTTTAAAAATCTTTAAAATGTGACCGGTGACGGAAATCCATGGTAACCAACCGCGGTTCCCGTTTGGAATGCCATAGACACATGTATTGATATTACTATTTTTGTATATTTTGAGAGAAAATCCCTAAAAAGTGAGAAAATCTGAGACGGTTTGAGAAAATATATAAACTATTGAAAATTTGAATTAAACTTCTAATTTGGAAAAAAGAAATTTGGAAAGAAGAAAAATCAAAAATCGAGATTTAGACTCAGTATCAAATGGAGAACAAAATGTTTCTTCATATGAAGGGAAAAAATTTTCTTGTGAACAAATAGAGTTTTTAAAATTTTATTGTATGTAATGAAATAAACAAATATTAAAATTATTTTTTGATAACAAGAAAATTCTCAACAGAAAATATTTGAGACAAAGAAAAAAAGAAAATTGAAAAATATTACTCTCCTTTATATTTCATGAGATTTTAAATTTATTCTCATAAAATTGACAATTTTATACGTTTAGATGAAAATAAGTGATTTTGCTTGAAATAAAAATTATTGTTTGTTTACAGCTATCAAATAGATTTTTGCTATTTCGATTAAAATTTGTTAATCAAATTAATAATTTTTTTTCTAAATATCTTAAATATCTGGATCACTCACTGATACGATGAATTAAACGATAAAAATAATACAAACTCAACTAAGTTTCCTGTCTTTCAACCAAAAAATATTATGCAATTTAAATTAAATTGTTTATTCAAAGATAAAACAAAGATAAAGTAATTATAATTATCATATACTTTATGAATAACTCTCTAATTGGATAATATTTTCGTACAAATATTTTTATTAATATCGATAAGAATATGTTTACCTACTATCACCATATGTCGATAAACGAGAGTAGAGTGATTTTTATCATCGAAACTTTTTAAAAGCTGTAAGCAGGAAGTAATAATCTTGTTTTTTCTGAGTTAGTTGTAGAACTATTGATGCCCGAGTCTGAATCACTTGTCTCTTTCTTCTTCTTATCTTTCTTCATTTCATTCTTATTTTCCTTCTTCTTTTCATCTTTTTTAACTGGATCAGGGAGTGGTTGAACAGGTTTATTTTGTGGATTGGAAGTATCACTGATATTGTTGCCTGCTGCAGAATTTGCATTATTCTTCTTAGCAGCCTCACTCCCCTTCATGATATCCTTCTGAGTAAGTTGTCTTGAGACGAGTTTGTAATAGAAACCTCCCTTTTGAACTAACTCATTATGTGTGCCTTGCTCAACAATTACACCGGCATCGAAAACATAAATGATGTTAGCGTTTTTAATTGTTGACAAACGATGAGCAACAATGACACCAGTTCTGCCTATGAGGACATTATCGAGTGCAGCTTGAACCTTCTTTTCTGATTCAGCGTCCAAAGCAGATATAGCTTCATCACAGATAAGAATTCTTGGATTCTTGATAACAGCTCTTGCAATGGCAATTCTTTGACGTTGACCTCCCGATAATTGTCCTCCGCGGTCACCAACTAATGTATCGTATTTCTTGTCGAGTTTTTCGATGAACTTCTTAGCATTTGCTATATCAGCAGCTGTATCAATTTGTGAATCTGTGGCTGTTTCAACTCCATAAAGGATGTTATTCTTTATAGTTGTAGAGAAGAGTGTAGGTTCTTGTCCAACAAGGCCAATCTTGTGATGTAACCAACGTGGATTATATTCCTTGATATCTCTTCCATCTAGAAGAATGAGGCCTTCAGTGACATCATAATACCTTTCGAGCAATTGAACACATGTAGATTTGCCTGAACCATAGTGACCAACTAAGGCTGCAATTTCACCACTTCGGATCTTAAATGAGACGTTGTTCAAGACATTGACTGGACGAGTTGGATATCTAAATGTAACATTCTTGAATTCAATTTCACCAACAAAGTTGTCTGGCTCGATTCCTCCATCAAATGGAACAGATGGTGGACTGTTAGTTAATTTGAAAATTCTTGCACCAGCAGCAATAGCTCTTTGCTCACCTTGGAGTGAACCTTGGAGCATTAAGATGCCCATACGTCCGAACATGCAGTAACCCCAGCATGACATTAAATCACCAAGTCCGAAACCAAATGTACCATCTGACCTAAGAGAGTTCTGCACTAAGTGTGTTCCGTAGTAAAGATTACCAAGAACCATAGCCCAAAGAAGTATCATGATAATTGAACCCATTCCAGACATCAAAAAACCAATTCTTCTTTCGCTCTTAATAGTTTCATACTGAGATTTTTCGAATCTTACGATTTCGTCTTCTTCTCTATTGAAACCTCTAACTGTTCTTACAGATGAAAGTGTTTCTTCAGCAATTGTCATGGATTTGGAAAGGGAAAGGAATCTTCTGGATGCCTCCTTAATAACAGCTGGCATGAAGAAAGCCATAAAAATTCCTGCAACTGGAATGATTGCTGTAGCAATCAATGCGAGTTTCCAAGAATAGACATAAGCAAAGACAATACCCGTAATGAATTGTGCAAGGTTTGAGATCTGAGTTCCCTTTTCTGTGCCAAATGCTTGCTGAACTTGTTGAGAATCTTCGGAAAGCAAAGTTAAAATGCCTCCGATTGGATTAGTATCAAAGAATGTAACGTCATTTTGCATCATACTCCTGAAAAGATCTCTTCGAATTCTGCCGGAAACTTCAGCACCAATTCTGATCCAGGCGTATTGATCAAAGAATTTGCAGAGTGCAGAGCCACATGATGTGCCGATCATTCCGTATATATATTTCAGACATTTGTCGTATGCATTTGGATTTGGATCCATGGAATAAAATGTTAATTGATTAAGTAATTTGCCGAATAAGAAGAATGTTAAAATAGTACCTCCACCACTGATAAATGATGGAATGATAGCAAGCACGTTTTTGCAGCTTCCAAAGGCCATTTTATATAATGTTCCTTTTGCCATTTTTGTATCATCATCTTGGACTTTAATCTGTTCACTAAGAGAATATTCGCTCGACCTTCTAGTTGAATATTCACTAGAGCTTCGATGAGTTGAACGATTTGGAAACATGTTAAAAATAAAATGATTTGGAAAAAGTTTAGAAAATTTTGTGATAAAATCTCGATCATGGTGAACTGAACAAATAAAATCCGTCGAATATAAATTACATTATTAATATATACACATCTAATTTCAACAAAGTAAATTGTTGCTATTCGGAACTATCAGTCGATCGCAAAATTTGAGGTGGAAATAACCGTTACTCGAAATTACCACTTTGAAAGCTTTTTAGCCAAAATTTTCTCAACAAATATCATTGCATTTTAATTACAATTCGATATTTAATTATTTTCTTTTTTGTCAAAATTTTGAATAAAATTCAATGAATACCAATTATCGGTGTTTTCAATTTTTGTCAAATTTTTAAATCGAGCATCCATTATTCCGGAATTATACATATTCATTAAAAAATGTGCATACAATATAATAACAATATTAACATGAAATATTCAATAAATTAGCTTTTTATGTTGATAAATTTGTATTTTATATCAAATAACTAAAAATTATATTAATTGATAGAGTTTAGCTATGATCTCAATATCTATATATCATAACATCCAATAATTTAATAATACACACATTAAAAAAAATTAACATAATTAATCCATATAAACGTATTATAACTTGCATAACATTAAGGATTTAAACTATTCTTTGTGGAAAAAAGTATTAACTGTAAAGATAATGTAAAACTATAGTGATCTTTCTATAATTCGATTTCCAGAAACATCAATGAATGAGATTGGTAAGAGATTTTATATTTAATTGGTTTATCATGCTAAATTTGTTATTTTTCATTTCATCTTTAAGCAAGTACTTACTTGAGATCAATTATAAATCTGAATAGAAGGAAATTAAAAAAAAAAGTTTATCATATAAAACAATACAAACAAAAATTTTTATTATAAACAGTTATTTTCGTCCAGTCAGAGGACGATTTCTATTATAAATAGGGCGAACGAAGATTGCTCCATTGAGTTCTATAGAACTGATTCTTTTTGATTTAGGGAACTGAGCGCTATTGTATATCTTGTTTTCTCGACTTGTGTTTGATAACTTAGATCGTTTTGGTTTCATTCCGTTGACAACATAATGAAGTAAGTCATTGGAACTTTGTTTCTTGTTCTGGTCAATCATTATGTTGCTGAGCATGTCATCGTAGATGTTGTTAGTACTTACATATGGTTTGACATTGAATTCAGGAAGAAATGAATTCTGTTTCCTGATTTCCTTTCTTTTGAACTTGATTTTCACTCTTTCAAGTTCTTCTTCACTGTCAATTTCGCTGCAAAATGGTTTTTCATTTATATTTTTAGTTTCTTCTGAATTTTCTATTTCATTATTTGGTTGGAATTTAAATGGAGAATCAGTCTCATCATTACTCGTTTGCAATTCATTGTTTCTATCATCTCCTATTTCAACTGATTTATTGTCTCTTTTTTCTAATTTAATTGATTCATTGCCACTTTTTTCTAAATTTTGTTTTTCATTTAAATTAGTTTGAACTTGTTCATTTAAATTGTAGAATGGCTGATTTTGGTCTGTGTCGAATGAATTGTCGTTTGAGTCCTCATTTTGGTCATCAGAAAGGAAGAGAGCCAAAGGGGAAGAATTTGAAAATTTGTCCTGAATTTCTTGAGACAAAAGAAGGAGAGAAGGAAGAGACTGAGAAGCAGACAATTGTTTCTGGTCCGTCTTGTTTAGTTTCAGTGAAAGATTCGCTGTTGACTCGCTTTTCTTCAGCTTTTTCGTTTCTTCGACCAAAACAGAGAATTTTGATGAGTTCCTGGACAAACTCGACTCGCATTTAGTGTGCGTTATTCCGATGTCTCCTCTGATTTCTCCTCCCATCGCGGAGAGAAAGATGTTCTCTGTCTCTTCGCTCGATTCTACATTTATCTGAGATTTCTTCTTGAATTTCCTCTCTCTGACTAAAACTCTCTTGAATTTCATCGATTTCTTCGTGTCCCCCGCAACATACTTTTCTCCCCTGTTTTGTTGATTCCTTGTGTCGTTTTTCTCAAACTCGAATTCAAATTTGTCATCAGAGGAAGAACTAGTCAAAACAGTCTTTGTCTCCTTGTTTTTATCAGTCAAATCATGATTTAGATCATTTTTGTTGCGGAAATTTCTCGGATTTCTCAAATTTCTGTTTGATTTAGAGTTTTGATTGGAAATATCAGAGATATCTGTATTGATGTTGATATAGGATGATTTCTCTGGCTTGTTTGAAGAATTTTGGTTTAATTTCAAAATTGAATTTTGAGTTTTTGTTTGTTTTGGCTTTCTGTTGTTGTTTTTGTCGTTATCGTTGTCTAACTCCATGTATATTGATGAAACATTGACGTTTTTGTTCTCTTCTTCGACATTTTTTGTTGAATTATCTGATGAAGTTTTTCTGATTGGATTTTGCTTGAAATTCCTCTTGAAACTCTTTGATTTCGTGTTTTCCTGTGGCTCTCTTATCAAATTGCCTTTGTTCTGCTGCTTCTTCTTTGTCTTCTTCCCTTCTTCCGAATTTTCTTTCTCAATTTTTTCTTCCGAAATTTTACTTCCCTTTTCCTCTGAATTTTTACTTCCCTTTTCCTCTGAAATTTTTATTTCCTCCTTTTGAATTTGCGGCGGAATTGTTGTGATTTTTTGTTTTGACGGCTGTGGTTTGATGGATTGGAAAATCTCGAGAGAGCTGTTTGAACTTGAATCGAACAATTTGATGTTGGAGAGATCGAGTTTTTCTTCTTTTGTTTCTGTTTCTTTTTCCTCTGTTTTATTTTTGACTTTCTTTTCCTTCTTCCTGTTTTTGTTTCTCTCCTGCTCTTCGTTGTATTCCTTCAAGAACTGACTCGTGTCAAACTCTTTCTTAGCTTTCTTTTTAGAGTTGTTTTCGTTGTTTTGTTTCTTTTTGTCACTTTTCCCATCGGCATCAGAAATTTTTTCTTCAGAATTTTCAACGGTTTTTTCTTCAGAATTATTTTGAATGTTTTCATCATTTTGAATTGATTTGAATTGGTCAGTTTTATCACCAAGATTTTCCATTTCTCTAAGAATCATTTCCTTGTCTTCATCAGTTATTTCTTGCTTTTGTTCTTCATCTTCTTTTTCCTGATTTTCCTCTGTTTGATTTGAGTTTTTCAGTAATTTTTCCTCTTTTTCGAGGAGTTTCTTCAGCCTGTTCAATTCGTTCAAGTCGAAACTCTTCTTCGGACTCTGTTTCCTGTTGTTGTAGACGATCTTTGACTTTGTGAAATTGGAGAGAAAGGAAGAGTTCTGTGTCTCAAACTCCTCCAAATAAGAAACAGCGTTTGACTCCAAGTAGTCATCCAGTTCATCGAACACGTCCAACAGGGGATGTTCCTCGTCAATCTCGTTGAAAAACATCTGGTAGACAGGCTCGATTATCATCAGCTCTGAGTCAGTTGCGACCAGAATCTCCCTTCTCCCGTTCAGGATTATTCCGGAGAGGAGGGAGCAAGGCAGGGATATCTTGTAGAACACAGTCCAGTCGTAGTCGTACAAGCAGACGTTGCCATCCAATGAAGTAGAAATCCAGAAAGTCGGAGAAAACGAAATATTTGTAACTCTTTGCGAATGTGATTTTATCTTAAACGATTCTTTCAAATCATTCTGTATTACTTCGTATCTCTCAATTGTTCCGTCCTCTAACCCAATCAATATGTTGTTCCCCAAAATTCCAACAACATTTGAACTTTTGATGTCACTTTTTGAACATAAAACTGCCAAATTTTCACTGTCAAAAATAATAATTGTTGTTCTGTAGACTAAACAGATTAAATTAAGTGTTGGCATGAATTTCATTTGCACTATTTCCTCAGAACTCAAAGATCCATGGTATATGACTCTGAAATTATCATAATCCCTGATTGTCAAGTCACAAAAAGGAGAAGCAATTGCGAAACAAATTTTTTCTCTGTTGAGGCAGAAATCGATTTTCGACGCCTGGAAATCAGAACACATTATCTGCTCGCACGGAATCAGCCCTGTGTTGAATCCGCACACTCTCTCATCAGTCTGGACAACGAAGATCTCATCCCTCTGCTTGATCAGATCCTCCCACACGAAGTACCTGTAGTTTTTCTCTCCGTCCTTCTTCAGATAGACCATTGTGCCTCTGTCGTACAGCAAACCGGTCGGGGGATAGCAGGACTGTGTCACTGCTGTGGTCATGTTCATCTTCGTCTTCGGAGAGATGAGTTTGAAGAAGGAGGAACCGCATTGGATCAAAATTCTCGATGCTTCGTTCGCTCTGTAGCATTTTTCTAGGACAAAAATGGTGGGAATGTTGAGCAAGTACTTCTTCCAGGGAATGACAATTCTCAGGAACTGTATCTTTGTCGAGAAGATGCAGCAGACTTGTTTGTAGGGGTTAGTTCCGAGAACAAAGATTCGATTTGGCGTTTTGTCAAAGGAATGGCACTGGAAAGAACGACCAGTCTTCACATCAAGGATACATAAGGTGTTCTGACCACTTAAATACATTATATTCTCACGATCAATGTAGGTTAAAAAATAAATTGAAGAGGGTGTGTTAGGAAACTTGAATCTGATGCGACCATCGAAGTCCCATGTTGTGACTCCTTCGCATGGATCTGAAAATATGATCTTGCCTTTGTTTGAGTCTTTTTTTGAATTTAATACGGTCATGCAGTTGTCAATTGATGCTTTTAGCTTAACTACTGTATTCAGTTGATCACCATCTAAGTTGTACGCGATAACACCTGATGGTGTTGGTATGTAAATTAGCTCTCTTTCGTAATCAAAACATGGAGGATTCAGAATTCCGGATTCATAATCAGGTAGAAATGATTTACGAAGTGTAACATTGACTTCTGGATATATTGCTGAGTGTTTTCTTTCGTAATAAGTTGATATCAAATTCCAAGTCTTAATTCCGGAGCCAATTGTAATAATTGTATGAGATTTCGGAGAATACAAGACATGCATGACTGTTTTTTGCTCTGTTTTTAGTCCTGTTTTGAGAGGTCGCAGAAAATTTGCTGCTAGAAACCAAATTTCAATTTCAGAATGATGAACTGAAACACCAACAGTAATATCACTGTTAGGTAATTGTGTTGCACAACAAAATTTGTTCCGAAATGTCTTCTTTATCTTTGGACCTTCGATTTGTAACAATTTCTTGTTTGTTGAGCACCAAAAAGTACCTTGTTGGAACTCATAGATCGAATTAGCAATACTTGTTCCGAGATCAAGCTCATATTCGGGAAAGATCCCGAATTTTAAGCTGTCTCGGAAATTCATCCAATGAGGAGAAAAAAAATTTATTATAAACGAAGATAAAAAAAGAATCTTGAAAATATGTTTGTTATAAGCAAATAAGCATTTTGTATTTATTAACATTGTCAGAAGATTTTCCATTTTTTTAATATGATATCTCTTTGTTTCTTAGCTGTTGCTGAGAGTGTCGAAATAAAAGGGATATTTTCTAAGGTATATGACGACAAAATCATCATGATTGATGTTAGTGGATCTTCAAGACAACATATTAATGGATCTTCTGTTTTAACTAAACCAGAATATGCAATTTATCCATGGAATAAAGAATACGATTGGTGCTCAAACTGCTATTATCAATACTCGTCACATCCTTGGATTTCTTTTTCCTTGAAAGGAAAGAAATTCAAAATCAATGGCTATTTCATTCGTTGCGGTTGTTGTTACACTCGATGCTGCTGTGAAGACGAGAAATATGGATGCTTTGATTGCTGCACATACTCATGGGCACTACAAATTTCGGATAATAATCAAACATGGACAGATGCTCATAAAATCGAGAAAGATGAATCAATGAAACGATGTAATGAGAAAAGTTATGACCTCGGGAAAACTTACACAGCTAAATACGTTCGATTAATTCAACTTCAGCCGTGTCCAGGCTATCCTCCTGCCATATCAATTAACAGATTTGAACTTTTCGGAGAAGTTGTTTCAGATGATTCACTAAATGAAGAAAATTTTGTTTCTTATCATGATGATGACGAAGATGTAAGTATTATAGGGCATATATCAAAGAATGGAAATGTACAATTAAATTAAAATCTGTTGTTACTTAAGAAAAGCTGATATTATAAGGTCTTTCAAAAAAAATTATACGAATTTTTGAAATTTGATTTCAAATTCTTTGAACTTGCTTCAATTTTGGAAGGTTAAATAGGACTAATAACCATCACAATCATTTTTAACTGTTTGAACAAAAGAATAAAAAATATTCTTGAATTGACGTTTCTTGTTTTCAAATATAGCATATCAAAACGTTTGTTTGTTCTTTCTCATTATAAAAATACCAGTAATAACACACAAAATGGAGGACTTCATGGACAACAAAGATATCGACCAAAATTGTGTCCATTATGCTTGATGTATGAAAACTACTAATATTATGTATTGAATGTCTTCTGTTTGATTTCAATTTATATTAAGATTTTAAAATATCCATATTTTACTTGATAATGCAGATATTTTATTGTATTATGAAAATTAAACGAAAAATATCGCTCAAAAAGATCAAAATTAGATGTTAAGAAAATTGTTTATTGATTAGGCTGTCTTCAGGTATTTTTTGAAGCAATACTTTCCGTACTTTCATTTTTCTTTCTATGGGTGCATATAATATATTCCTAAATAAGGATTTGTGATTAAAATTCTTTTTAGATTTGGGTAAATAAATCGTTAGATCTTAGATCATATTAATCAATTCTTCTTACAATTAAATTATGGTAAAAATGGCTGTGTAAAACAGTTGGAGTATTGTTAAATTGCGCGAAAAGTTTCAACTTCTATTTACAGTATGTTCAAATATATTAGAATTCAATATTGTGTGATAGAATTAACTATAAGCAATCGATATTAAGTCATTAATGAAAATCGATATTAATATTTAAAATTTTCGAGGTTTTTTGAGCTGAATGCTATTGTCTTGGACATCTAGAATGAGGTTCTCCTTGGTGAATTTCTCCAAATTTTTTCTGTTTCAGAAAATGCCTATGCAATTTTCTAGAAAATGAAAATGAGGTTTTACAATTCTTGATTTTTTTGGAAAAATGAGGTTAAAATTCTTCAAAATTTAAATCTCTAGACAAAGTATTATTGCTTATATATTCAAAACATTATCCTTAGTTTTGATATGTTGGCCAAAAAAGTAGTATATATGGATGGGTTGTGTGACTTTTTTTGTAAACGTAAGAATTCATACAATATTGAACGATTTTGTATCATTTTTTTTAACATATGAAGTAAAAAATGTATGATTCTTACGGTTTTTATTCTTACGTTTTTGAATAAATCAAGATTTAAAAAATTTTCAAAATTGTAAGACATTTACACTCAGCCCAAACATAATGAAATAAAAAATAATTTTTTAAAAATTCATGTCTCAGAATCAACATTGAACTTTAAGGACCCGGGCTCAACGAGTCATGATTTATGAAATCAATAATTTGATTTATTCGCTCTTCAATAATTTCTATTCTTTTTGTTAAATCATCTATTTTCATTAATGAGGTGATTCTTGATTGAGGAATAGATTTCAAACTAACCACTCCTTTTATTTTTGAAATTTTGAATCCATCAACTTTAAACATTTTATTCAATTTACATGTTGTCAATTCTTCAAATAATTTTTTATTATTGGCATAATAGTCATTAAATTCTTCAACAGATGAAAAATTTTTTATTTCAGTAATTGTTAACAACGTTTATTTTTTGTTGAACATTTTCACTTTCATTTATTTCTTCCTCCTCTGTTTCATTTATTTTAAAATTGGTTTCATTTATCATTAAATAAAAATTAGAATATAAGTGATGAAATATATTTTTAATTTTAATGAAATAATCAGAAATGGCGGCAGGATTCTTTAAAAAATTATGGGATGGAATTAAAAAAGCTGCGGGTTGGTTCATCAAAAGATTATTAAACCCATTGCAAACTTTTTGGCACCAGTAGCGAAAACGGCAGGAACTATCATAGGGGAGTATTAGTGCTAAAGCAGGTAATCCGGCGATGGGAGCACAAGCAGTAACGCAGTTGGTGGAATTGCTGAAGGAATACTTAATAAAATAGGAGGTAGATAGTGGAAAAATAAATTAAATATTATTTTTATCTTAGTATCGGTTGAAGTCTTTGATAAACTTTTTCTCCTTTATTAATATTTCTCTTATTGGGGCAGCTTTTGGTGTTATTGATTCAGCAACGTCACTAATTGCTTCTTTATTCTTAAATATCCAATTTGCTCCCTTCTCATTGTTTCCCAAACTTTATGCGCTCCTCTTTTTACTTTATCCCACAGTTTCTTAAATATACCTGCAGCCATAGTTGATTATTTCATTAAAATTAAAAATTCATTTCCATCTTTAATTTTGATTTTATTTATTAATAAATGACGACTAACTATTTGGTGCCAAACACCAAACCAATTAATGGAAATGTATTTCATTCATTCGAAAAGATAAATGAAATATTTGCAAAGAATGACGGTAGAAGATATTATAGAGAACTTGAAAGTTCATGCTATGACTCTGATACTCCATATTTTGATGATAAACAAACTCATTTAAGAATTACAAATCCAGCTCATGATGTGAACCAATAGGTGACACAATATTAAACGCAAAGTTAAAGCAACTCTAGTTTCAAATAAAGCTTTCACATTGATGCCGCTTTTAAATGCATGCGTTTATTCGTTGGTTACAAATCATCAAATCAAAGCTTTAAAACAATTAGAAGTAGAAACCGAAAGAGGTGATGCTGGTTATCTTCAGATGGATTGCGCCCGTGAATCTTTCGCATTTGCAACATAAACCGAAATCAGAAAGGAAAGTTAAAAAGTTTGTTCATTCGTATATATAATAATGTTCAAAAATATGATAACTCAGTATGTGGAAAAATATTGACCCTTCAGAAGTTTTCAAGAAAGCAAATGAAGAAGTTGATGTCACTTTTGATATGATTATTCCGGTAAATGATTTGTTAGCATTTCAGGCGTTCGATGATTATCCTAAATCATTTGGTGATATCATTCTTAAATATTATGTTTTCAGGGATACTTTAGTATTTGTCAGGTTGACCCGTTAAGAGTTGCTGATTTACAAAATTACGTTTATGAAAAGATAACTGATGAAAATTATGAAAAGATTATGAATCATGTTATAAATATGATCGCAAATTCCAACAAATCGGACTTCCTACCAAATTAATTACAAGCTTAGCCGCTACATCTGCTGACGCAACAGTTGAGACGTTATTATTTCATGCACAAAGATGGAAGTTTTAGAGGATAAATGTATTACACCAGGATACGGTTTAATTGAAGAATCAGTTAAAGCAATACCACGTTTATTTAGTAAGGAAGATCCATTCATGATTCCAGCTCAACATATTGACGTTCGTTCACTAAATGGAGGTTGCATCACTCCTGAAGGTATTAGCTCAGATTTCTCATACGCTCTTCATAATGTTACAGATGTTGTGTTAACATTTCCGAAGAATGCAATGCAAAGAACGGTTTTAGAAAATCCAATGCTTCGAGGTCTTCAGGTCACTATAGATTCCAGAAACTTCCCCGATCAAGCGATGACCACAGTGGGCGACATATTCTTTACACGTTTGCTTCAAGCTTCTGATTTAGATGGAGTGAATGAATGCACAGAAGAATACGAGGACTCATTAACTAGACCACTGAATGATGATAATGGCACGCCATTAGCTAGAACATGGAAAGACCAAACTTCATTCTTATGCACTATTCCAGTTCAACGTGATGGAGCGGGTATATTCTTTGATGGATTAGAAACTTTCAACTCACAAGTTACAGTACAAGTGAAAGCTTATCCAATCATTCAGGTGAAAATGACACTTACTGTTCAAAGGTGACAAATCCTCCTCAGGTTTGGTTTACTAGGACTACGTATTGGACATGGACACCGGATGAAGGTTTGAAATATCATCCAACAGGTACACCATCACAGTATAGAAGTTCATATGATGAAATATTGATGAATAGAAATGTTTAAAATTATAAATTTATTTTTGATTAAATGGATTTAAATTCATCCACCCTTATGAAGAATTAGCAGGAGTATATAATACATACGTAGATGATATGATTAATGAAGCATTGAGTGATAATAGAAATGCTCTATCTAAGGAAAAATTAATGAAAATTCCATATTCTGAATGTTACTTAAATTCAATCACTGCAGCAATTGGTAAACAAAATAAAGGTAAAACATTAACGATAATAAAACAAATTATCATTATTGCTAACACTTCCCCCTATTCACATGTGTTAATTTATATCAACCGTTCAGGTTCACCTTCAGATGATACATTTGAATCTTTAAAGCATTTAATCAAAATTCCAATTATTTATTTATCACAAGAAGAAGCAGAAGATTATTTAAAAAACTTTTTAATGTATAAAGAATTATATAATACAATCAAGAAGCAAGGATTAGAGGATAAAATTATTGATAAACAACGGGATGAATTATTTGAAACACTTTCTATTTCAAATTTTGATAAAGAATTTTTGCATTCACTCATTTTTCTAGATGATGCAGTGAAATCAAAACTAATAGCAAATGAGAAATCATATTTTAATCAGTTATTAACTCAATGTCGACACATTCAGTGTTCATTCTTTATGGCTGTTCAATATTTCAAAGCATTAAGCACAAACATTAAATCAAACCTGTCCACCCTTTTCATTTTCAGTGGTTTTAGTCGTCAACAGTTGAACGTTATGCTTTATCAAGTGAATTTACCAATGAGCATTAATGAACTTTACACACAATATCAACAATTAGGAGAACATGGAAAAATAATAGTTGATTTAAATAAAGGTTCCATTAAATTCGAATAACTTTTTTATAATTAATTTTTATTATTTATTTATAATTAAACATGACAGAAATTGCAAATCTTCTACAGGTTCCATTAAAACAAGGAACAAACAAAAAGGGTGCATATAATAGAACTATGAAAGTTCCAGACGGAATGAAAGAATTAGTCCACATTGTTGCCGGTCTTCAAAAGGATG